TCCACAACCACTACTCTTTGGCAAACAGAGACCTCAAATACCTACCTGTCCTCTTGCAGTCCACATACACGCACACACACAAATACATTCTGCCTTGCCCCATCTGCCTCTGCAACCTGCACCCCCAGGCAGCTTCTCCTTGGCACACACTGAGCCAGTCAAGAGCTGTCTCTTCCTGGAGTTTCCTTCGCTCATCTCTCTTTCACTGAGACCAGGGAGAGGAGGTAACCAGCATGGTAAACAGAAGAGCCTGCTCCTGTGACTGTAGTGAGGGAGAGGCAACTGCCCAGCAACTCATGTTCATAGGAGGCCAGAAGAGTAGATATTTATTTTTGTAAAGGTTGCTCGCTTTAACCAAGTGCTGTGAGGAGTAAAGAGAAAGATAACACTCCCTACTTCCTCTCTGTGGTGAAAAGCTGAACTTCCCCAACCTTCAGCCGCAAGCAACCCCTTCCCCACACAGCATCCTGCTCTCTCTATACCTACAGCCCCCTCCACATGCACACGATACCCATAACCTTTTTCACACCCCAGTACCTACAGCTTCTCCATTCATACTGTGATGCGTACAATTTCTTCCTTCACTTACAACCTTGGGGGCTGGAAAGGTGCAAATTAATTGCTGGGCTGGGGGATGGGCAGGTGTGTGTGTGTGGGGGGGGGGAATACAGAATTAATTAATTGATTAGAGTTTTGGAAGAAGCTGGAAGATCCACATCACCAGGCCACCAGTGCAGGTGCCTGAAGCAGGGGCCAGAATCAATTTCCTCTATAAATGTGGGAGAGAGCCACGCAATTACTGGGGTGGACAGGGGAGGTTCAAAGATCAAAAACCAAAACACACCATGGAACCTTTTTTGAAAATCTCATGCTGTTTATAGTCTGACTCATGAGTTTTGCACCTTTGGGATTGGCGATCCTGTAACGCTGTGCTGTAATTGGGTCCCCTGGCATAGTAGAATGCATAGTAAGGCAGGGACAGTGGCTGGTAGGGTAGCCCAGGCCCTCCCATTCCATCAGGCTCCAACCCAGAGCCTTTTGAGGGCAATCAGTGATCTGACAGCCAGGGGCACTTAAGGCTGCCCTCCCTGGGCCACTTCCTACCACCTCCCTGCGATTGTCCCAAGGGTAAGATGGTGTGAAGGGTGTCCGTTCACCAAAAGGGGTCTTCCAGCAGCTGTGCAACACAAGAGCTTCTTTTCTCTCAGGACGGCAACTGCCTTCTCCTGTGGTGTAGGCCTCCCTCCTGGGGCAGATCAGGTTTAGAGCTTTCCCCTACCGGGGTAATCCAAACAAAACAAAGGGAATTAACACAACCCAGAATTCATATGAGAGGGAGTGGGGGATGCTTCCCTAACAGGCTCTCTCTGTAGCAGGACTTCCCTTCCCTCAGGGAAGGACCTTTGGACAGTTGTATAGGGACAAATTCTGCCGTTCCTTCAGCTCTCCTCTGTTGGAGTTACAGGTCTGCTTTCTTTCCTGGTCTACCACCAACTGAGCTGTTCTCCTGCCTTTTAACTCCTCCTCCAGCTGGTGCATTTTCTACAGGTGCAGCAGGGCAGGGCTGGCTGAGCCCAGTACCTTAACCGTTTATTGCCTAGTGTGGGGTTTGTACACCACATCACATCTTCCTTCCTAGTTCTTTTCCCCATTCTCCTCCTCCCATTCTGTTAGGTCTCCCCTTTCTCCTGCAGTTCCTCTCACTTTCTTCCCCAGTCTCCCCCCCCCCACCCCTTGAATCCAGTTCCTCATGCTTCTCCCCCATCGTGCCCCTCTTCTGCCCTCCCTCCCCAATATACCTTCTCTTCTGAGCCTCCCTTACCGCTCACATCTCTCTCTCCTTGCAGTTCCTGCTGTTCACTTCTGACCTCAGCTCCTCCTTCCTGCCCCCATGGCCACCTCACCTTTAGCACACCCACAGCAGCCCTTCTCTGACTCTGCCCTCCGGAGACACTCCCCTGCTGCCTGAGACACTGAGAAGAAAGCAGCAGTACAGTAACCTATGTTTGCAAGACAGCATAGCAGTAAATCTGAGAAATGTGCTTGGGGCAAGGAGCTGAGTTTGGGACAACTGTGGGGTGGCAATGACAAGCTTTATCTCACACCTTGCATCATGATAGCTACAATTTGTCCTCACAGCCCACCACCTACCGCTTCCCCCATCACAGCCCAGCAACTATAACTGCTTCTCTCAGTGGAGCTACATTAATTATGCCAGCTGAAGTCCTTGACCTCTTTTCCTACCCAACACCTATCCTCTCTGTTCATTCCTGTTATCTACAACCTCTCCTCTTCTCACCTTGCCATCTACAACCTCCCTTCCTCACCCATCTCCCACACACTGACAGCTATATGCACCTCAGCACCTACGTACACCCTGCAATTTGCTCGCCAAACCCCATCATTTCCTAGTCCTGAATACTTCACATTAAAGTCACTTTCAGCACCAAGCTGCCAGTCAGCAGCCTTCCCTTCACCTCCACCATGCTCCAGCCAGCCACAGTCTCCACGCAGTAACAGCAACTTCTCCCAGTCACTTCTCTTCCCCTGGCTGCATCATCTATTTCCCTGTTCTGAGCCTTTACTCTTCATAGTCACTTGTCACCCTACTGTTGGCCACTGAGTCTGAGTGGGTGGCCACTAGCAGTGTGAGAGAGTCCATTCTGGTTGGGCTTCCTCTCAACCTCTTACTTCCCTGACACTTCCTAGAAGAGCTGTGCGGTTTGCTGAAAATTAAAAAAAAAAGTGAGTAAAAATAAAATAACTTTGCATCAAACCATAAACAACATTTGTTAAAAAATTTGGTGAATTAATATATATATACATTTTTACAAAAATCACTTTGTGGATCAAACAAAATATTTCATTTGACTTGAAACAAAATGTTTCTCTTTGATTTTGAATTAAAAAAAATTTAAACTAAAATCAAAGGAAATTTTAAAATGAAAATTCATTTCAACCTGAAAAATTGAAATGTTTCATTTAGAAAATGAGAACCAAAACATTTTGATTTTTTGGAAGTTTTTTAGGGTTTTTTGTTTGGTTTGGGGTTGTTTTTTTTACTGAAACAATTCTGCAAAATTGACACATTTGCAAAATGTTTTGGTGTCACCAATCTGCATTTTTTGCTGGAAAAAAAGCTTTGGTCAAAATTTTTCACCCAGCTCTACTTCCTACTCTTAGGCAGCTTGCCAATGAATTGCCTGTGCCAGCCAAAGCTCGGCATTCCCTCCCCATTCACCTCCCTTAACTAGTTGTTGCTCCTGCAGCCTACGAGGAGCACACAGTTCTTCATGCTGGGCCTGGCAAAAGAACACTCTGAGAGAGACTCAGCCTCCATATAGGTGAATGCAGTAAAATGTGTTTTGTAGACTTCATTCTCACAGAAACTGAATGTAAAGGGTGGTGATGGGTCATTATTTTTCTATTCCAAAACTTATGTATCATAACACATATCCTTTTCCATAAAGAGAATTGATACACTGATTGTGATCTGTTTTGTTTTCTCTAATGCACCTAACATAAATTGGGCTTTAGCGGAACTGAATTGAGAACAACTGTAATAAATGAGGAAATAAATACTACAAACTATATATGTGTTATTGACATGCCTTCAGAAAGATAACAGAGGAAATTCATACCAATTGTTTTTTACATATTGATTGCCCAGTTGCTGCTTCTCTCTTGACCTGAAGAGACCAAAGAGATTAGTTCCATGATGACTTGTCTTGCTACAAACTAAGGGCAAGCTAGCATCAAAAGAGACTTACACCAAGCAGGCTGAAGTAGTTTTTCTTGACAGCTGTAGTATGAGAGAGATCTGACGTTAATTGTGGATCAGCCTCTAATGTTTATATACAATTATATTTTTAAATCAATTGTCTTAGTTCTGGTCCAATTTTAGCATGCCTGGGTCCATAATGGAACCAGTAATTGAGGCTCTCTTTCTCTCAGAGAAGATTTTGCTTATGACAGCAGGCTGAAAGGGTAGGGCTAGTACTAGAGATACCATGTTGTTATTTTCATACTTGAACAAATCTAAGTAATTCTCTCCCTACTATTCTGCCTCTACAGTTATTCCAAACAGAATTACCTGGAAAAGGGATACGTTCTTAGACAGTTTTCGACTATCTATTCTCAGCACAGCAAGAAGCAGTATCAAGAGGTAAAAGATTCGCTTTCCTTTTCTTTGAGTGGCTGCCAACATTAAGCACCAAGTAATTCTGTGTTTTCTTCCTGCTATTTAGTCTCAGGCTTGAAAAGAGATGTACAATATGGTATAAACCCTAGAAAAATCAATCACTATATTGTTGCTGTAAGGACATAAAGGGTATGTTATTAAAGAAGCACACAATTAATCAATAGTGATTTTGAAATATTTTCTTATTTACAATTGCTTTTGTAAATATTTACAGATTGGTGATTAAATTATTAGCGTATTTTTATTCAGTAAAAAACCTGACATTTCTGTAAACAAGAAAAGGGGAGAATGGTTACAAATAGCTGGGAAAGACAATGGTTTCGATAGGCTGGGTGCTGAAAGTTAGGTACATAAATCCTGCAGTGAGATTGTGTAGAGCGGTGCCTCGGTGTCATTCCATTACCTTTCCACCTCGCACCAATCCTGCAGGGGGCCAAATCAGTCCCTGCATCTATACGAAGAAGCTCTAAGTCATGCCAGCAGGGAGCAGCTCCTTTGCTATCCATGATCAGTGGAACATATTGCATTCCGCCCCCAAACCCTCCCCATCCTGGAATGGGTGCTGGGGAGACCAGGAGTGTCTAGCATAGAGCTGGCTACATCAGCATATACGACCCCTATGCTGACAGAATCCTCCAATCCTGCCTTAAGGCAGCTTTAATTATACTTTGCACCATTGTGTGCTAAAAATAGAGTGTAGCCACAGCCATAGGAGCAGTGGGAGGGGCTACCCACCCCAAGTATGTACCCATCCAAGACCATAGGCACGTACTCAGGGTGGCTAGCCTTTCCTGCTGCCACAGCTACATGTCTCCTCAAGCTGGGAATCGCAACCCCCAGCTCCAAGTTTAGACATACCCTAAGTTGGGGCTAAGGATGTGGCTGTCAGCTTCCTTGGATGTGCACTGGGAACCCAACAAAGGATTTTCCACATTGAAAACTCTGATTTTGAAATCCTGGATATTGGTCTGTTTGTGCTCTTTATTTCCTTTATAACACTGCCTGTTACTTCCTCACTGGGTTTCCCTAGGGTAATGTAATATTACTTTCTCTGTTTATAGGGGTAGTAGTGCAACTTCATTTTTTCATAATTTGTTAACTGTGCAAATAAACAAACCCACAAACTAATACACTTTAACCAAAAGCTAATAGACGTGCTTTAATACTAATGGCCTGAGTTTTATTTGGCTGTCAGTCATCTCCATTAAGCCTAATAATAGGGAGGAAGAAAGTAAAACTTCTACAAATTTTCTAATGAAATTTAGTGCAGATGAAAAAGCACTCAATATATAAAAACTTAAGCTTTGGATTCCTGTAGTGGCTTCCCTCTGAGGATCAAGAAGCGCTTACAAACAAATGTTCAAGAGTTAAAGTTCCATAACACTGCTCTAACTTATGTATTATTGTCCCCATTCCCTTTTCACAAATACAAAAACTGAGGTTCAGTGTGATTAAATGACTTGCCTAAAGGTCACACACCAAGCCAGCAGCAGAACAGAGAATAAAACCCAAGTCTTCTAACTTCCAGTCCTGTGTTTTAATCACAGGGCTGAGTCCTCCAAAGTGCTGACATGTTTAAAAAATGTTTCTGCAGATTTTTCTTGACTTTATTTAAGGATAAGTCTCTCAAGCATCATCCTGTATGGAAATAAGATAGATGTAATATGCAAATAGTTTTCTTGCATGTTTTCTGTAGAATTTTATCCTTCCATTGTGAATGAGGTCGGCCTGGCTTTGTGGTTAGAATCTTTGGTTTCGAATATAAATCATGTGCTTCATCTCTTTATTAAATCATAAAATAGTATAAAAATGCTAGCAAGCTATATTCTAATATATATTAGAATAGATATGAGAAACAGGTTTCAGAAGTCAGTCATCTATATTTTTCCGTAACCAATCAGTAAATCTGGCTATGAGTTTTCTCCTTTCATTATTTGCAAACTTTGCAAACTGCAATGTTTCAGTAGTAGCAATCCGTAGATCCTTGTCCAGTGTAGTATTGTAAAAAAGCTGCAACTAAAAAAAAAAAAAAAAAATACATAAAGTTAGTCTACAGAGTACCTTGAGTGGAAAAATTGAATGCACTTTCGACAGATGTCTTAGACAGAACTGTCTAGATAAGAGCTTGTTTTTTACATTTAGGGTTTAAATTTACATTTAAGGTGCAATCCTGATCTCACTGAAATCAATGGGAGTTTTGCATTTGACATCAATGGAGCCAGAATTTGACACTTAAAACTTTAGTTTAGGAAGGTGCTTGCTCTGTAAAGCTCCTATACTGTGGCTTAAATGTTCAAAAGTGACAAGTGATTTTGGGGGCCCAGATTGAGATACCTTAAAGGGGATGATTTTCAGAGTGGGAGTGCCCAGCACTACTGAAAATTAAGCCCCTTAAAGATTAAAGCAGGAACTCTGCTTCTGCAGATCTTTGAGGCTTCACTGGCCTGGCACCTTCTTTTCTCTTTCAAAATAGTTCACATCTATAGTTACAGACAGCAGAGTTCTGGGGTGAGATTCTGTGCTGTGCCTCTTAGAGGCGCAGTATAGAACACACAGCCCAGAGGAAGGGGGTTAAGGTGGCTTTAAAGCACTTCTCTGCCCTCCTGATCTTGGGTAAGTCTGTGGGCTGGAGAGGCACCCAGTGTAACTTATAGGCTTGCCAAAAAACATGTGACTTTACTGCAGGATAACTAATGTGTGTTAGCTGTCCTGCTGTAAAATCCTAGCACAGACAAGGCGCTGTAGTCTTACCACTTGGTAAACTTGGTGAAGTCCACCAGAGGCCAGGGTATAGTGCTGACCTTGCCTAGCTCCTCATGGTAAAAATATCAGTGCCTTTCTCCACTAGGATTTTACAGTGGGATAGCAAAGAGCATTAGTCATTCTGCTGTAAAAAAACCCCACACCTTTGTTGCAGGGAAGACATAGCCTAAGTCAGGGTTTCTCAAATGCGGCCACCAGGGGCTTTTCTTGCGGCCACAGCCTCCTGGGCAGTGATTTGGGAGGGGGAGAGGGAGCAAAGCAGCGGCCCCTCCCCAGGGGCCACCAGCAGTGGTTGGGCCCTGCCCCACTCTGGAGCCACACAAGCTGGAGGACCAGGCAGTCAGTGAGATCTCCACATTCCCGAGGGTGGTGGAGTTGGGCTTCAGCCTTGGGGTGGCAGACGGCAGGCTCCAGACTCCAGCTACGGGACTTCAGGCTCTGTCCCCAGGCGCTGTCCCCTGGGTGTGGGGCTTTGGGCTCCATTCCCTGGCTGCATGGTGGCGGGCTCTGGCCCTGAGCTCATCCCCCCCATTACCTCTGGCCCCCGCTGCCTCCTCCAGTCCCCATTGCCCCTGGCCCCCATTGCCTCTGTAGCCACCTCCCCATCCAGGGCTTACTTTGTCCCTGGGCTTGCTGGGGCTGAGTAAGTCTGCTGTGAAAAGTGATATTAACAAACATACAAATGCCACTTTTCAGAGCAGACTTACTTATAGCTAGCAAGTCTTTAAAAACAAAAAACCAAAAAGCAAAAGCAAAAGAAACAACAAGAAAAAAGACAAAAACATTCAAAGCACCTTATTTGTGTTGCTATTCTGTTTAGGTCCAGTAAAGAACAAATAAATGTACATTATTTTTATTATTGAGTCTGCAAAAAACAAAACCCCTACATAGATAAATTACAATGCTTTGGACATGGATATGTGCATATTTGTTTGTTTTTCCTAAAGTTACTTAAGTATTTTAGGAAAAATTGTCAAAGCGACCACCAGCAAGAGTTGGTGGCCGCATTCTGAGGCCACTAAAAATTTTGTTGTGAGAACACCTGGCCTAAGTTATAGTAGTCTCCAAGGGCTGCCCTTTGGGCCACACACTGCCGCCAAACTCCTCCCTGGTGCGTGTTGTGGTCTCATCCCTGACATGCCCCTTTCAGCCCAACATGCCCTCTGCAGCATGGCTTGTGAGGGGATCCTCGGAAACAGCTTTATGGCTGTCTTCACAGTGCTTGCTGTGGGGGAAATCTCCCCCCATGCTGGAACCAGAACTTTTAGGGTATGTCTACACTGCATCTGGGAGTAAGCCTCCCAGCTAGCTCAGCTTCAGCTAGTGCTCTAAAAATAGCAGTGTGGACATTGCAGCTTGGAGCCCCTGGGTCTGAGCTCGGGTGGCTAGCTCGGTCTCCACTGAAGCCGCAACATCCACACTGCTATTTTTAGCTACCTCCAGCCACTCTAGTGCAAGTCTGTCTACCTGGGCTGGGAGGCATGCTCCCAGCTGCAGTGTAGACATATGCTTGGGGTCCCCTTCACACCACACCACCACTTCTCAGCATAAAGGAGCCAGAGCGAGGAGCTCTATCCAGATGTATAAAATTTTAGACATCAGCTTTTGATGAATAATTGCTCCCATGGTACAACTAGAAACAGCTATGATTAATAACTTGGGCTGGGTTTTTTTTAGACTAGCCTATGCACAAGATCTATGGCCATCTACCTAAAGAGTGGTAGAAATGTTGCAAAAAAGAGATAGGCATTTGTAGGCTCGAAAGATCCGAAAAGGCTTTAGTCTGCAGCCATAAATGTAAGATGGAGTCAATTTTAATTTCTTCAAACTACTAATTTCCTGAATGGATTTACTTGTACATTTCTGGAAAATACAATCTTTACGAGTTTGTCCACTCTAGGACTTTTTTCCTGGAATAATTTCCCAGCAGCTCTACTGGTGGCAGTAAAACTGGCCGTACAATCCTAGATTAGGCTTCTGGCAGCCACTGACATTTTAACCATCATGTCATCTCAGTCTGTTCACAGCAGCTCTACACAACATGTTGTTAAAAACATCAGCAGCTACTAGTGCCCTGACTATACAATTTAGGGTGACCAGACATCTCGGTATTAGGGGCTTTGTTTTATACAGGCAACTATACCCCTTGAAAAAAAGTGTCCTGATTTTTCACACTTGCTGTCTGGTCTCCCTAACACAATTGTTCCCAGAATTGCTCCTACCAACCGAGCTGCACTGGTATTAGCACTGGTGGAAATTTTCAGGGGGGGGGGGGGGGGAGAAGGCTACAGTAGACAAGGACTAGGAGTAAATGCTGTCATTTTTGTTACAATCAATATTTGTTTTTATGCCTAACAAAAAATTTAAACTTAACTGAAAAGCTAACTGCAACTTTAAAATTCCTCTGTAGTGAAAATCATATTATGTATGAGGTTGCTAGTGCCACCTGTTAAAAAAGGTTCCCAGTGCCTGTTTTCAGTTGCTTAGAACTTGGCAAAACTTCAACAGTTTAGGTTGAAATTTTCCATGTTCTGAGTCCGCCTCAGACTGAATTTTTTGGAAAATTTCATCCAAAATTATTTAGCGATTTCCAAGAATGAGGCTAGGGAAAAAATACATTATTTTTCCCCATGTTAAAAATTTCTGGCAACCTTTTTTTTGAACAGTTCTAGTGCCCTCATGCTTTGGAGCAGGGACTAGAAATTTGGCAGAGGGATCTTTGTGTCACGGATGTGCCTTTTGCTGTCCCCATGAAAATCCACTCAGATAAGGCCAAATTATAAGCCTTTGGGGGGAGCAGGGAATCAGTTGGCATATGCTCAGTAGATACTTCTTTGATTATAGCGGTTAACACTCCAAAGATTCCATCCTGATTGTGCCTGCTCGAGCCTCTCACAGCTCCTACCTGTAACCAAACTGTGCATGTGCCATCCCACATAGCTAATGAGCATGCTCCAGCCTAGGGCTACAGGGGCCAAGCCAATCTTTCCATCTAATGACAAGGCACCACAACTGAGAGCAGGGAACCTGTCTCTCTTTTGGCATCAATGGCCCTCCGCTGGGCTCAGGAAGCCATTTGATCCAAATGCACAGGGGACAAAAGCCAGACCCAAGGAAGGAAAGGAAGTAGACTGGCACAAGGAATCTGGTGAGACTGGGACTGGAACAGGGAAAGAAATTGTGATTGGGAATTGGTGGGGGGACTGAAAGTAGTTGAACAAAGGGACTGGGTCTAAGAGCTGGAAGAGGCAAGGACAGGTTGGGTGGGGAGGCTGGGAGCTCAGGGGAGGATGCTGTGATTGGTTGGGCAATGAGACTGGGAGCTGGAGATTGGTTAGGCAGGGAGGCTAGAGGGAGGAGAGGCAGGGTAGGTCTGGTTGGGTTGTTTGAATGGGATTAAAACCTTGCGGGGGGGGGGGGGGAGGAGACAAGAGGCTCTCCGACTGGTTGGCAGGAAGGCTGGAGTTGGGAGCCAGGGGTAGGGAAGGGAGGTGGAGCAAGGAGAATGGGAGTGCAGCTGGAGAGGGGAAGTTGGGACTGGTTGGACAAGGAGACTGGGAACCAGGAGGATGGTGGCATGAGTTGGGCAAGGAGACTGCCACAATCATTTGTACAAATTGTACAAACACTCATGCAGTGGTGACTAACTACCATTTGCACATGCATTCCTCTGTCTGGGGGGTGAAACTGTGGGTGCCCATTTGTAAGTTTATTTCTTGTGCATTTGTAACATCAACAGACCCCAGTCGTCAGCGGGTGGGATCAAATCTGGGACCTCTGGAGCTTAGTGCATGAGCCTCTACCCCATGAGCTAAAAGCCAACTGGCTGTTGGCTAAGGCTGTAGAGTAGACTCATTTAACTCTCTCTAAGTGGTCTCTGTGCTACTAGATGGGACAGAACACCACACCCAGGAGGTGTGTGGGTTACACACGGTTGTAAGTTTTTTAAAATCACTGATCTCTGTGCAGTGCTGCAATGTGGGAGGAGGATTAGGGGACCCAGGCTTGCCTTTGGCCTCTGACTGGAGTTGGAAATTTGGCCCTGCCGTCCCCACCCTCAGTCAGGATTGAAGGGTGGCCAGGCCAAATTTGAGTGGTTCTGTGACACAGTGCACCTGCTTGGCTCTCCCATCTTTGCAGTCCTTCTGGTGCCTATGGGCACTAGGCAGCCCCACCCCACAGGGAGAAGTGGAGCAGGGGGCACTGGGCACCCTCAGGAAAGTTGAAGGATTAAATCTGGGCTTTTGGTACTTCCTTAAGAAGCTGATATGAAGGAGGAGGATGGGGCCAAGGGCTCCCACGACAGTTTGCCTCCTGATGAGGATGGTGCCTCACTGAGTAAGAGCATGGGGCTGGGTGTAGGGGAGAGAACTTTGAGCTGGGGGCATGGCAATATGGGGGGAAAGCACAGGGCTGGGTGTGGGGCAGCAGGAGGGGTTTGTGTGTAGAGCTAGGTGCAGGGGGGAGAACAGGTCTGGGTGAAGAGGCAGTGAGGGATTTGGGTTGGGTACATTAGGAAAATTCTGGTTGCACCCCATCTCTGTCTCAACAAAAACCACAATGAGTTTCCATATATTTATTCAATACATTTCATGCTTTCCAAGAAATATGTAATTAAAAAAAAAATTATTTACAAATTGACAGCAAGGTTTAAATTAGTTATTTATCCAATGGCATATAAGTAACTTACTTCTTGGATCTGTAAGTCTGTATTGACAAAGTTTTCCATAACTCTCAATAATTTCTGTAGTATTCCATTCCTATGCCTATAAAGTAATATAAATATCAGTCAGGAAGAGAAGCATTTTGATAATATGTTGGTAAATATGCCATCAGCCTGCGTTCCTCTTCTGCAAGCATATTCGCCAAGCCTAATGTATAATGTTGAAACTATTGTCTAAACTGAAATTTAGTAGTCCGAGTTCTCTCCTCTTCCCCCTCCCCCCCCAATTTAAAAAAATATTCTCAGAGTTTAAATTAGTGAGGTAGATATCTATGCCAGATGCAGAGTGCAGTTTACAAATAATTTTCCTTTCTGTAAAAGGTTTGCTCTCACTCTGACTTGTCTAATCGGGTAAACTGCCATTTTTACACAGCTAAAAATCATAATCAAGTTAGAAGAGACTAGAGAAATATGCTCATCCATTGTCAGTCACACGCAAATAATCAGGTGCAAGAGTTTGAAGGAGGAAGAAAAATATCAATGTATTGAATCAGAGCCATGGCATATTATGATATAAAAGATACTATACCAGGACTCTATCCAGGCCTGGAGTAAGCAGGTTAAATAATCATTTAATTCAATGGGAGTTATGCCCCCTTCATCATTTGGCCTGACAGGATTAAAATGTAGTTTCAGGTATCTCAGTGTATTCCTATTGGCAGTGGTTTCATTTGAAAGGGATGAACCAGATTCACAGCAGGTTTCACATCAGTATAACCGTGCAGTGATCCGCAGTGGCACAAATTCTGCCAGGGGACAGGTTGTGGTGGCAAAAGCTGCAACAACTGGCCCTAAACTGGGTTATCTTTAGGGGCTAAGTTATGTTGCAAACACACAATCAAATGGCTGCTCTAAGTTATACCACAGTAATGGTCCTCTTGGGACCATTCTGCCAGCCAGGGTTAGCAGTAGTGCAAGATGATATAACCACATCCCATCCCACTGTTGTTTCACCTCCTATGCTGGGGAGGCTAGGAGCACGTTGTGTAAATGAAGCTATCCCAGCTTTATGCCATGCAGGATTCCCCTATGCAAGCATCTAACATTTCCAAATAAGAATGCATTTTCCTATCGTATAAAAACTGACTGCATGTTTGCCATACAATTTGTCCCAGGCTTTACTCTGTAAAGAGGCTGAACTGGAAAGTTTCATATTCATATACAGGAAGCCTGTATTGTCTTAAACCATTATATTGATAGCCTTGATAAACACATGATGGATAAAACTAAAGAGCAATAGCATTTTCCATCTGAAAGTTTGGATGGAGGGCCATCAGGGAGCCAGGGGAAGCTCCCGGAACTGGTTAGAGCTGGTGAGGACAAGCTCTAACTTATACAAGTGGCATAAGGTCCTTAAATGACCACAGAACAATGGAGCATCAGCATAGCAGTGCTCTGCTCTATCATGTCTTTTCTGTTCCTCACCCCCAATATACTCCCTCCATCTCCTGACATGCCCCCCATTCGCCCATGTCATCTGATCCAAGAGCCTTCCTGCCCACTTACCCTTTCCCCTCATGTCTGACCACTCTTCAAACCTCCTCTGTTCATTCTCCTTGCTTCCGGAATCATACCACATACATATTAATCCTTCCTTTTTTATCTGCTCCCAACATCTCACTCCTAGATGACCAGCCATTTTCCTGCCACAATATCTGGGCCATACCCTTTCCTACTCTTACCAATGAGTTATAGGATCCAACTACCTTCCAGTGCTTCCAATTTAAATATTTGTGTTGTATGAAGTATATAGAACTCTGGAGTACACCAGTTTGCATGCTATTTAACAATAAGTAAAACCTCATATTTTTATAATGTTTTTCGCCACAAAGCACTTTATAAGGTTGCACTATGAGTCAGATTTTTAAATGCTCACCATCTTACAGTTGAGGCCAGATTTTCAAAAAGCTCAGCTCCCATTTAGTCACCAAAATAGGGTCCAGATTTTTCAAAGCGGGTCAATACCCCTTAGCTCCCATTGAGACACTTATGGGGACACACACATACTTCCGTTGAGCTCTTTGAAAATCCAGCCACTTATTTTGGTGCCTTAATGAAAGCTGAGCCCTTCTGATAATTCTAGCCTTTGTATGTAGGAATCACTTAGACCACCATGGAAATGCAGGCACCTCTGGAGTAGAACATTTGCCATTGGGCTCTACAGCTCAAACTTAAGGTAGAGAAGAGAGTCAGAGAAACAACTGCAGAAATAAAGATGAACGACATAATTTGGTTGCTTACCATACCTTTCATTTAAAACTAGCCAATTTTCTGTTACAAATTCCCATGCTATGCGTTGGCCAATCTCAGTAGCTGCCACATTTGAAATGACTATGGATATATTATCAGAAGACAATAATGAATTGTTGAGTGAGTACTGCAAATATCTGTTGGAAAAATACATTAAAAATATAATTATTTAGAATACAAACATTGACCTTTTGAGTTGCCTGTATCGTTAGAGTATCATGTTTAATATAAATATTAACCATTCATTACTTACTGGGTTTACCTTCTCAATGTAGAAAGAGCGTTGCACAGGGTATGGGCATATTCATTTTCCTTATCTTTCCACTTCTCAGGAAATGTTAGGGGCAAATTATCCCTTCCACAGAAAAAAAATCCATGGACTCTTAGTTTCTACGGACTCATCCTGTCAGGTGCAAGGTTGGCGTTTGCCCTCCTGCAGAGTGAGCAGGTAGCAGGACCTTTCATGCCACAATGGGGTATGTCAAGATACCCAGGAGTTCTGTGGCATTTCTGTTAAGTCCCTAGTGCCTAAGGAGTGCTTCTCACCCTCCAGAGCAACCTGGCTGCCAAAGGAGCTGTGTTCTCAGACGCTCTCCACTGGTAGCTGCTACATGCACAGGTGCATAAGGCAGGTGTAGGTCGCCTGAATTTTCTCTGGCTGCACACCAGAGACAGGATTGTTAGTAAATATTCTGCAATTAGAAATTAGTTGTTTGTGAGACAGATTGAGCCTATTTTGACTTTCCTCTTCCTAAGTGACTTTGCAGACTGCCATTTGGAAAAACGCATTGGATTCTCACTCTCTCGGGCACAGGGAGGAGAGGACCATCAGGGAGCCAGGGGAAGCTCCTGGAACTGGTTAGAGCTGGTGAGGACAAGCTCTAACTTATAAAAGTGGCATAAGGTCCTTAAATGACCGCAGAAAAGTGGAGCATCAGCATAGCAATGCTCTGCTCTATCATGTCTTTTCTGTTCCTCACCCCCAATATACTCTCTCCATCTCCTGACATGCCCCCCATGCCAGAGGAGTGGCTGCCACAGGAGGCAGCTATGCTGCCTCTGCAAGCTTTATATCAGTGGAGTTTACCCCAATAAGAGAGAGATGCTGTGCTTGCCTGTCTATCTTGTGCTTCTTGGTGGTGCAAAGTGGACATAAACGATCACAGAATCCAGATTCACTATATTTTTACTTATAAGCTAAGAAGATTTTCTTTGAAGCCATTGAGAAATAATAATTATGGTAATTATGGACTCAATAATGCAATGTTTATAAAGCCATTTTTAGGAGTAGGACTGCACTTTAAACAATGGATAACTTATTATTGAATTAATATCTATTTTTTCCCTTAAAACCAAGAAATTAATGATTTACTGTTAAATACATTAAAAATATGATTTGATCAAAGTCACCTGTAAAGCAACCATGACTCTCTGGTGCAACTCATGGCAAAGAGCATTATATCCTTATCTATTTCTGTGGAATTATTATGATTATACATTTTCCATGCAAAGTCCCATTCTTTATCACTTCCCATTGCAACACCATAACAACAGATTGTTCTTTTAATAGTAAAGGGAATCCTGTAAAATAGAATAATAGTTGTTGACACCATATTGCTATAAAATGAAAACAAGCAGCTAACATATGGCAGAAAGTTATATATTATGTTAACCAATTACAATTTAAAATAATCACAACAGAGCACTAAACACAGAACAAAAATCTGAAAAGCAACTAGATTTGAGCACTGCATATTTACATTTATTATTCAAGCATTACCACAACAGGGATGCTTGAAGGTGAACTGAATAGCTTTTTTAATATGGCTGGGCAAATAGTTCATATTAGCCAATATAATTAACACCCTTGTGTCACATCACAATATGGTGATGTCACATCCTAATGTGATGAATTTGCATGAAAACACCATCTCAGAAAGGCCTTTTGGAAGGGCCTAACCCAGCAGTGCAGGTGATAGGAAAACACTGTCCATTTCAAGAAGAGTGTCATATGTTTCGAGAATGCAAGATGAAGAAAGAGAATGGTCGCCTCTCCATGCAGCAGATTGTCTCCCATTACCCACACTTCAGAGGGTGGTACCTACAAAGTGATGATGAATTTTGCAACAAAACCCAAATCCAAAACGCCTTCGGGCTCACCTACTGCTACATTTTACATGCTGAGACCAGAGTGAAAATGTTTGTGTTTCTTCTGCAACAGTCAAAAGTGCCACTAACACTAAAACAGCACAGGGTGCTAAATCTTTTTGGTGTTAGCAATATTAACTATTCTACTGAAATAACAACATATCATACATGTGAGGATCTCTATGCACTTTACAAACATTTTATATCAACTGGATTTTTTGGTTGATTCCCTATGGCAGGAAGGGGCCCACTGCTAGAAGACTCTGAACATTCTATTTTCCTAATGTCTCTGTATTAAATTACTTACTATTAAAACTAGCATAGTCTTTTTTAAATTTCATGTCCTTGTTCTAAAAGAATAGGGCAAAACAGAAAAAAGGAAAACAATGGACAGGAAAATAACTGAGGAGAAACAATGGGGCAGGGAACCTACTTCTGGCATGATAGAGTTATATCGTTTTGTTTTACGCAGCTCCATGGCTTTGCACTTCAACCATTCTGAAAATGCAGGAGGAGAGGGGAGTCTATCTAGAGCACTATACACATGTGCAGCACACAGCTCTGTAGAGCTGCAGTGCGACACAGTTCTCCAATGCCACAGGGAATAGTTTAGGCCCATATTGCTCCCATGAGTAAAAGGAAGAAAAACCTGGAAGATATTGGCTGGTGGCTGTGGGGAGAGGGGAGCAGGGGCTCCACAGCGTGTTCTTTCCACAGATCCTATAAAAACCCATTACCCCAAGTCCACTTGATTGGAGCTCCATGGGTCAGGAGGAAGCGTGCCTAGGCAGAAAGGGATCGGGAGTTGGTTGCTCTCCATAGCAATATCCCCTTTCAAGCCTGTGGGGATGTCACTATGGAAGATAATGACATTGTCAGCCTATGGCAGAATGACTGCATTGTGGGAGAAAAGGAACTTGGGGGGTAGCATGAATGCACTATGTCAGCACCCAAAAGGATTTCTCTGCAGATCCTGTGTCTGTTACAGGTTTGGTGTGTTTTCCAGTTCAGTGTGTAGAAAAATTGTACCTCCCTAAATATTGATCAATGGGGGGGGGGGGGGGAATCCATGAACTGAAATTTAGGGAGCCTCCTCACCTCTATGCTATTTTTTCTTGTTAAAACTTAGTAGTGAACATATTTGAATCACTTATCACTTCATAATTGCACTTGTTTTTTCAAATATAGATAGCAGCCATTCCTTAGTGAGGACTGGCCACATGTGAAGATTTAAAGACTAGCTGTCGTGTGAATTAACTGTGTGCAAAGAAAGAAAGGTCTTATTCATTATGAAATCAGAACAAGTATATTTTTCTCCACCTAACTCAAAAACAGAAACTCAAACTTTTGAAAAAGTGAGATTTTGGATTCAGACTAAGCATGGAAAGTTTCAGCCTGGAAGATGAATATTTCAAAAAATTATGAATAAGGCATTGATTTGGTCATAGAGGTCATGGAAATCATGAATTTGAATAAAGTCTGTGAAATCTTGGCAATGGCTATTAAAACAGATTTGATTCCTCCCCCGCTCCCCCAGCTGAGTGGCATTGTGACCTGATGTATGGGTTGCAGTGCCACTAGGTTTGAGCCATCCAATTTCTGTCTCCATCTGTGGAGGGGTCGAGGTGCCAAGCCTGAGTGGTGCTGTAACCTAGTGCTCCGGATTGCAATGCCTGAAGTGGGGAGCCAGGCCCAACTCCTTGGGACAGGAGTTCCACTGTAGGTTAAGTGTGGGATGGGCTCACTCTACAACTTACGCCCAACCGTAGCCTCACCCTTATTAATAACCACAGCTGCTTTTGCTACTTAATAGCTTTTGTGTAGGTGCACGTAGCAAGAAATACATTATTTGGTGATCCTCATCCTTCCATAATTTATTTCCCCCCGACCCCTCTGCTGTGAAATTTACTAAAAATTTCTGTGCCAAAATTGTAGCCTTAATTATGAACAACTGAAAATAGGAGATTATGATTAAAATCATCTTGCATCCTTAACTGCAGTATTTACAGCTGACATTACACAATAATAAGAATATTCTGTTTTGGATACTAAATAGTGAGTAACATTTTAAAGCTTTTCAGTTTACCTTTAAAAGCCGTTATTATGAGGTCAGTCATTACAAAGCTACTTAAACCCCCCCCCCCCCAAACTTTACTATAAATACTACAAGTTCAGCTGATTTAGCCATCTGATTATATGAACATAGATTCAAATAATAGCCGACAACATTTTTGTTCACATTTAGTAACTATACTATAACAGGTAAAATAAAAATATAAAAATGATAAGAATAATAAACAGAACATAGACTCACCAGTGCCAAAACTATCATAATTGCATAGAAAAACAAGAAAAGAGGGAGGGAAAGAGAAGGGAGAATTACAATATGCCGTATGGGCTTTTCTGCAGTGGAATACTCTAACACGGTTTTGTTGACAAATATAGGCCATCTTTAGTTACATAAAAGTCCAACATGCACTTTTGATTTCAGTTTGTGTAATCCATTTAGGGTGCTTCTGGATATGTTCTTATTGTGGATTTATTTGTTTTTACCATATTAAACAGCCTTAATAAAAACCTACCAAAAATAAAACATTGTAACTGTCAAGTTCTCCCCACAGCAATGTCATATACAACTGTAAAATTTCCCACAATGATGCTATATGTCACAATTTAGACTACTGTTGAAGCTGTGAAAGTCAGACAGTAACATATACAGTGTATGCAATGTAACAGAGTTAATGTCCCTGTGGGAACCTGCTTTTTGAATTGCCTGCCTTTTTATTCGTTTACATTTTCAACCTTAATATTGTATAGGGCAATGGATGTCATGGCAGACTGGTACTTCTGCATTGCTTATTAAAATCCTGCCTAGAACCTTGGTCCTGCCAACAGCTGTCATGTGCTGCTTACACGCCCTCTTAGAGACCCACTGAAATCAATGACACTTCAATTTAGAGTAACCTTTGCCTGATCAGGCCCTGGGTCTGTAATAGCTAAAAGTTGTTTACAATTAATAGTTGTTAAGTAGCACATATGAAATGATTTGGTATGGGCAAGTGCCCACATCACAAACAGCCACCACAACTGGCAGTGTTTGGCTCAGCTAAAGATTAAATGGGTGCAGACAATACCAGAGGTTAGAACTAAGGCAAACTGACAGAGTGCTGAGGGATACTTCCACAGTCCTGTCTGCACTTTGCCTCTTTGGTGCTTAGACAGAGTTCAATTTCCAGGGCAGTCAATCTGCATCCTTCATGAAAGTCAAGTTTACCTGAAAAAGCACCAAATATTATATCAATTTAGGTTTTTACAATTTAGGTCAGGCCAATCTGTATAGGAAGAAGAGAAGTACACAAGGAACCTCCCCTACACTACCTGCCCATGTAACGGCCTGTTAAATTTAAATCTGACTTACACACACGTATCTATAATATTACAGTATCATTCTTACTCATTGTCAGGGTTCTCCATCCACTTAGTGTAAAGTTCAGAAGATAGGTTTAAACAGTCTTGGAGGCCCAGCCAACATGCTGTATTAATAAGTTTTTCCAAATGAATTCTTGAAGGGAAGTAAAAAAAAAGGACACATTACACATTTTGCATTATTCCAATGAATAATTTTTAACTATAACATAATTTTATCAAATGACACTGTATCTCGGGAAGTCGTCTGCTAATAACAGCAGGTTCAATAATAAAAATATAACCAAATAGCAGTCTCATGGCACAGAGATGTTTGTAGGGATTAGCAAGGTTTAAATGTATTCTAGTCCCACCACAAACTTATCTGTCCATGTTTTTACACTGCACTTGCCACTGTGAGATCTGACCCTATCTTTATAACAGTCATGTCTCAGCAGAGATGTTAAGGATTCAATGGCCATGCAAACTGAACTACCTCTAATCTTTAGAAGTGGTTCCTTTAGGTCAGGTCTGAGGTACAAAGGAGCAGGAGGACCTACTTGCCCTGCTCATAGCTATGATACTAAAGTTCTATGGATAGATCAGGGATATCATGCTCCTGGGTGTTAAATCACAATCATTCTCTAGTACTAAATTTACTAACCCCCCCCCCCCCAATCCTGATAACAAAACAGGCAGCCCATCTTGCTGCTGCTATTTCATTTTAAAATTCACATATCATGCACATTTATGGTACTGCATTATTAATAATAATGTTTCAGTTACACTTAAATTAATTAAAATATCTTTCCTGCATACAGTTTTCAATTTGCATTAAAGTCTTTATCAAATCAAATCACTTCAAATTTGATTTTTTTTTTTAAATACTTACTGATCAAAATAGTCATCTGCCAAAGCATCAACATTTTGATGAATAATACTTGCATAATAATGGTATATTGGCAATATTCTCTTTAACAGATATTTCTTTTAAAAGAAGAGAAAGAGAAATTACTTTCATTTAGATATGATATTGCTGTATTTTTCTCTACTTATTTATTTATTTATTTTGATCATTTTAAAATTAGAACTCTGGGTACAGATGCAAAATTTAAATAAAACATAAAAATTGGAATGTCCAGAATACAGAATTCTCCCTGAACCACTCACACAGTGGTGTTCCCATTACAGCTCCCTTAGCCCTGGAAGAAAAGATGAATTTTGGAACTTGATATGAAGATTAAACTCAGACTCTGGAAGAACAACTAAGAAAGCAAGTCCCAGAGAGGAGGATACTGGAAAAATCCCTTGCCTCCTCCATATTAAAAATTCAGCAAAGTACTTAATCACATTTATCTTTAAGCATGTAATTTGCCCCATTGAAGTCAATGGCGCTACTCCAAGTTAAGCACATGCCTAAGTTCCTGCTGAATTGCGGACTAAATAAGGGAACTGTTAGCTCAGTTTCCTCAAATGATCTCATCTGGTTACCATACAGGGAGAGTGGCAGCCTGAAGTATTTTGTACCTAAACTATTTAGGACATGACAGGTTAAAACAAACAGGAACCCGTTACAAATCACAGGTGTAGTGTGTTCTCTAGGACAGTGGTTCTCAAACTTCTTTTTTCGCAGACCACTTGAAAATTGCTGAGGGTCTCAGTGGACCAGTTAATGATCTTTCCAAATGTTGTTTGTACCGTTCGCTAACTATTGTAAAGCGCTTTGGATAAAAGCGGTATATTAAAAAAAACCTTAATAATTAATGTTTTTTTGTTCTACAAATAAAAGCACACAACTCATATTTTAATATCAGTAGTCTTACCTTTCTAATGCAATAGATGTGCCCTCTCTCCCCCACTGCGGCAGCCCCCGAGCTGGGGCTGGGAAGGAGGGGGGTTTCTCCCCTGCCACAGAGCTGAGGCTGGGAAGGAGGCCATTTCTCCCAGGCAGCTGCAGCCCTGGAGCTGGGCAAAGTCACCTCTTTCTCTGGCCGCTGCAGCCCTGCACATCCCAAATTCCCCCCACCCCCTCTTCTCACCCCACTGCCCCCTCCCATGGCCACCACCTCACCTTAGATGTGCATCTTCTTCAGGGTCCAGGCACCTAATTAGTGGAGCCACTGGTGGTCCACAGACCATACTTTGAGAACCTCTGCTCTAGGAGAAGCACTGCTATGCAAGCAAACAGTTGCATTCTACACAACTAGTGGTGGTTGTTAGGCCCCCATTTTGTAAAAACTGATGCATGTGCATGTACTTTTGACTGATTAATAGACAAATCAAATAATTAGCTTCCATTTCTTAAAAGAAAAAAAAAAAAGGCTGAACAAAATTTTAACGAAAAAGTAATGTACCTTGTGGTACATCCTTGAGCGTTTATAAAGGATTCATGTAGGATCCTGTCATTTAAATGGTCTAAACTGTCCAATATTTAACAAAGAAAGATGATACCTTTAAAAAGGGATATAATTCATAGTTGTTCAGAATATTTTCCAAATTGTCAGGTATTAGGTTTGACAGTACTGAATACCACACAAATATTTCATCTTCTTTGGCAAGGTACTTTGTTAGTTCAAATGCAGACTCAATCTCAATATATCCAGCCCTATTTAAAAAAAAAAAATACAGAACTGAGCATAGGTATTCAAGTTAAACACACATTTCAACAACGGTATATTTAGATAACTGATGAAAAAACATCTAGATACTGTGGGGTCTAGGGAAGAAGACAGACAATGAGAATAAATACAATACAATAGTGACCAGTTTAAGAGTCTGATCCTGCAAACACATACTGCTGAGCCATGTGCTGTTACCAAGAATGAATGGGACTACTCAACTAACTCAAAACATTAAGCACACACTACACTAAGGTGTGTTGGCAGGATCAGGCCCGTGTCCACTACTGCCACTTAACATCCTCACTAGGATAAAGTGAAGATGCCTTCTATATTTTTATGTAATAACATTTTGGAGATACAATATTTATGGTCTTTTTAAAATATTCGAACAACAGATTTTCATTATAAACTGCTTTGGGGAACAACCATTACCCGAAAAGCATAAACAATTAAATGGTAATTCAGGGATATTTAAACATTATTAATTAATTAATTATTCGTTAGAATGGCACCAATACACTTTAGGCTAAACTTCACTCTTTTGCAGAGGGCCCATCCAAAACCCTCCATGGGAAGCCCTGCCATAACTATATGTGAGGAGCACATTTTACACATTCCTTATTACAGGCCAGACTGTGCCCTCTGGTGGGAAAACCTACAGAAAGTGGGGGGAGGAAAACTCTAAGGTTCCCCTGACAGAGTTCCCTCCAAACTCCTCCAGTGTTGTGGGGGTGCTTTGCCCACCTATAGAGCACAATGATTCTGATACCTTTGTGGATCTCAGGTATCTGCTGGAGGCACAGGGACAACCATTGACTCCTGGGCTCCCTGCTGTTTTCCTTAGCTTCCTGGCAGCATGGCTCCAATGAAACTGTCCACCTGCAGCTGGACTTGGATATCCCTTAAAGGAGTTTTCCCATGGGGAGGGGGAGGGAAGGGAACTGTGCAGGTAAGTTAAGTTATATGTTTTTTTTTTTTTGCAGAATCCCAACACTTGTGGGGGCAATCCCACCCCCCTGAACTGTCTCTATCAGTGTCAATAATGAAAGAGGACATGATAATCATCTACAAGTAGTTGGAAGATTACTTATCAGGAACAGAAAGGAATTGTTGAATACAATGAGGTATAGCTAGAAACAACGATATGAAGTAAGAAAAAGGAAATTTAGGCTTAACATCAAGAAATTTTCCTAATGGGGATCTATATTAGCTTGTAGAAAAGTCTCCTGATGGAAACTGTGGCAGCTCAACTGCTTGAAACATATGATCTGGGACAAACAGTTAGAAAAGATACTGTAAGGAACTACTCTGCACTGGCCGGGGATGGACTAGATGACCTAATGGTTTTTTTTAAACTGTTCCCTGGTGAAGTCTGTCTTCTTTACAGGGTATTTATGGAGACAAAGGAGCAAAGTCAAAATAGGAATGTGAAGTATAACAGTGTCATGTAATAGTGCATTAATAACAATTTTCTATCACAGACTCAAAATATACTCACTGTGCCAATGTAAAAGCATCGTCTATCAAATGTAACCTGTTGACAACTGGAATAGCCTGCAGAAAGCACTCATGTGGTGTTAGTAGATCAAACATATCATTTTGAGGAAAAGCATACTTAGTTATGTTTTGAAAGTCTGGGACAAACCCTGCAGTCTTTTCTCAAGCCAAACTTTATAGACGTCAATGGAAGCTTTGCCTGAGTAAGGATGGCAGGATTTGGTCCCATATTTTGAGCTGAAATAATTTACTCAATGTGCCTTTAAGAACAATTTTTTCTGTGTATGTAGACTTAAAAAATTCTACATCTGGTACCCATTTGCAACAGCTAATGAACTGCTAAGCTTGAAAAATCCTCTTAAGTATGTGCAATATTGCAAATTAAAGTGAGGGAGCTCTACAGTATCTAAAATAAATCCTGATTTCTTCATCTTGACAATGACTTTTTTTCTTTTGAGACTCCAATTCATAATCAAGTACTCACACCAGTCCAGACTAGAGTGTCTTACATTTGTTCTGAATTCTGAGTTGTTCTGGCTACAGGAGACCATAGGCAGAACTCCAGTTAGTAATTTTGTTCTCCATTGAATAAATCTCCGGGTTGATCCTGCACTGGATTATGTGGAGTGCAAAGATTATTTATGTTGTAACCAGAATCTGTAAAAAGAACTACAAGCTTCTGGTTCTGGTGCAAAACAGACTATGCATCCAGCAGCTGTGGAAAAGACACCTATCCCGCTATCATTTATGCATATTATGCAAATTCTGCAACCAGGAAGCAGAGTAGGAGCACAGCTTGCTCACCCTCTTACTATATGATTCTCCTCTACACATGTATTTTGCCTCCCTATTTCTATTTACAGGAATAGCTTCTAGATATTTAAAGCCTATAATATCTCTTAGCATAAACTTAATTGGGCAATTTTGTGGGTTAAACCTGTATAATGGAATTAAATTGCAAATTTATTTCACACTGTTCCTTTGGTAGAATTTCTCCAACAGCCTCAAAAGAACTTGCATGGGGGTGGGGAGGTTGGTCCAAGGAATCTCTGGATTTCCTGCAATCCAGGTGAATCTAGCATTTACCAGAGTCCAGGTCCATTTGTGTCAAAACTCCTGGCCCCTGCTTATCTCTCTCCTGCTTGCATAGCAGTATGGCTCTGTCATGTTCCCATGGATTTTCTCAATGATGAATGCCAACAGAGGATTCAAAGCATAGATTGGGAGCCCACCTAAGTTTAGGCTGACATTCAAAATTTGCTTGATCAGGAACCATACAGGTTTGAAGGAAAGAAAAAGAATGCATCTTAGAGAGGCTGTACTCTCAGCCCTGTTGTCTCCAATCCTGCCATACCCATGGATTGCAACTCCTCCGGAGCAGTTTCCATAAAGTCAAGAAAGCAATACCAATAGGAGGCATTTCCCCTTTCCATGTCTCCCCATTCCTATGCCAATATTGGCCATTATTCCTATACTTTGTAGCAGAAGCAGAGTGGTTGATTTGGCCCTGTTGAACTATTTTCAGTGGCCTTGGTCTTTACATTTTCTAAACATTGTAATTAAAAAGTGATTCATCGGGGCTGGGCTACACCATGCAACTCAATTGAGGCAGAATGTAAAGGTGCCTTAAAGCTCATCTCTATGCTCCCTTTATCCTGAGCCCAAGCTTTGCTCAGCCAGTTCTCTGATGTAAGTTAGACCAGCATGAAATTGCCTTAAGTTATATTAACTTTCAATGGTCACAAGGTGTTGAAATGACAACCAGGGATTAGCAGAACATTAGTAGAAGTGGCTGGCAAACGGAATTTTCCTCCTGCCAAAAATTGAATTTTTTCATGAGAGGAAAAACTCTAAAAATAATTCCATTTTGGGAGAACCCCGATGGAAATTTTTCAGCTTGTTCCTGGCTATCCAACTCCCCAGGGCTGCCCAAGTCCCCAAGGAGCTGAGCAGACTCAGAGGCCACTGCCCAGGGAGTCAGGGAGATTTTCGTCAGAAGTTTTGATGGAATCAACACATTCCTGTGGAATGATTCAATTCTGTCCATTCAGCATTTTCTGATGGAAAAGTGTTCTGACAGAATGTTTTCCATCAGCTCTAAGTGAAGGTAAATCCCAGCAACACCCATACACTGGTAAGACTTTGCAATGGCTTGAAGTCATGGAAGAACCTCCTTATAGTGGGAGATCCTTCCAGGGCTGATTAAGACAGCTTTACAGGTAGAATCTGGTCCTATGTTAATGAAAAAATTTTCAGCACACACTTGAAATGAAAAGCTATTTTAGTCCCACTTTTGTTCCCACTAAAGTCAAAGTGAATTTTGTCAGTAACTTTAATGGGCACAGATTTGAAACCTTTGCATGTGATGCACTAGCTTTCAATTATCAGTTAAAGTAATTACTGGTAATGATTGCAATAAGAAATTGATTGTATAGAATTTGTTTACATCATTGATAAACAAGTTATCTTACCTTTGGGTCTTTTTCAAGCAGTTGTGCTAATCTCTTCAAATGTAATGGATCATAATTAACTCTGTAGTACCCAGCCATATTCATATTTAACAAAATCCAGTCATGTTCTGAATCTGATATTTGCATTTCAGGAAACATTTCTGTGGGGACATTTGAAAATGGAAAGGCTGTACCATTTTACCAATCACTAATGCAGGTATGCAGAATGTTATACACTGCTATGAAATATGGGCTCAGTTTTAATCTGATATATGTGCATGTGCATCACCACATCATTAAATTATATTGCTACTATGCATGAGGCAAAAGAGCTCAGCCAGTTTCTCAAGATTTTATGAGTTACAAGCTCACATGTGGAGCTAGATTGTGCCAGGCCCTTGATTTGGTACGGGGAAGTGGGGGGGGGCACAAGGCGACCCCCACATGCACCAGGCCCAATTGCACTCTCTGTGTTCTGCAGAATACAAGAACTTATCCCTTTAAAGCACTTCACAAAGGAGGCAGGGAGGAGGCAGAGCCATGGACCCATCTTGCTCCTTCACTGACCAAAGGAGCTGGCTCGCTGGCAGCAGGGCCAGTGCAACCATTTAGGCAAACTAGGCAGGCGCCTAAAAGCCCGCTCAGGCGCGGAGGTGGAGTGGAGGTGAGCTGGGGTGGAGGGTCGCAGGGAGGGCCGCCCGCAGATCACCTCCACTCTGCCTCCTCCGCTGAGCACACAGCCCGGCTCTAAGTCTCTTCCAATTGGAGCCACAAGCCTGCGAGGGGAGGAGAATTAGAGCAGCGCCGGCGTGCTCAGTGGAGGAGGCGGAACCGAGGTGAGCTCCCCAGGTGGGGTTAGCTGCCGCGCGGGGGGGGGGGGAAGAGTCTCCCCAGGTGGGGTTAGCTGCCGTGGAGGCAGGCTCCCCAGGTGGGGTTAGCTGCCGCGGAGGGGGGAGTCTCCCCGGGCTGGGTTAGCTGTCGCGGGGGGGCGGGGCTAGCTGGGTGAGGGGGGGGCGCAAGGTGGAAGTTTCGCCTAGGGCGCGAAACTTCCTTGCACCGGCCCTGGCTGGCAGTATAGTGGAATGAATGATTCATCCTCCTAATGGATGGAGACTTGCTCTGCCTGTGTGCTAAGATCTCTGGGAGGAACTGTGTCCACCTGAGGCTCAATACATTCTGGACTTTTCCCTGGAGCAGTGTGCCTCCACACTGCTCCCACTGTGGGTCTCTATCTTCAAGCCATAACAGGGCTCACTGTTATCTTAGATTAGAATTGCCTCCTTATCAGCATTCAAATATAAATCTAAACAATTGTGGTGGTAGCAGAATGGGTAAGCTTATGCAACAGTAGCAAACATCCAACTAAATAGTTCTGTTGTAAATACAAGGCCCAATCCTTTAGTTCTTACACAGTCTGATCACTCATCAAGGGCCTGATTCTGCCATTGGTACTCATCTGGGTCTTCCTAGACAAGGAAAAAAGTGTGGTTAGCTAGTTAGCTAGCCAGAGACTAGGGTAGACCTTGAGCAGCTAAAACAATTTTAAAGGTGTTAAAACTGCACCTACACGAGGTGCTTCAAATGTTTCAACTGCAGTTAAGCTAACCTGATTTAAAAGAAACAAAAACAAAACAAAAAATCCAATCTTTTTCCCTAGTCTAGATAAGATCATGGAGTAGTACTGATGTAAGTACACCTCTACCCTGATATAACACGAATTCGGATATAACGCGGTAATGCAGCGCTCCGGGGGGGGGGGGGGGGGGGGGGGGCTGCGCACTCCGGCGGATCAAAGCAAGTTCGATATAACGCGGTTTCACCTATAACGTGGTAAGATTTTTTGGCTCCCAAGGACAGCGTTATAACAGGGTAGAGGTGTAGTATCAGAATAAGTATGGGAATAAGGACTGCAGAATCAGGTTTTAAATGGGTGTTTTGAGTGAGTGGGGACTACAGGATTGGGCCCTGAACATTGTCACTAAATAAAACACAAAGGGAGGGAAGAACCATGTGAAAGATTTTAGAACAGGTTCCTAAGTCAAGTAGGTGCTTTTTAAAAGTTTACTCCTAATGCATAGTTATGCCATTACAGTAAACAGTGCTACAATTAAAGTTGAAACTTCACTTCCATCCTAAACTCTTACTTTCACATGTGTAAACCCAGAGGCCACTCTAGCTATAGGCCACCGAGACAGCTGCATAGGGTGGCAGATTTCTGGGCAGCTACCTAGGGCTGTAGCCCCTCTATCATGACAAAGTAGTGTCTGAGCCAAATTTGAGCAGCACTGTGACTCCATGTGTCAGGTTGTAACATCACTTGCTCAAATCTACCCCACCCCCCATCATGACAGGGAGGTGGCTGGGCCAAATTTGAGTAGTGTGGGAGGCAGCACACAGAAGTGTTACCTAGAGTAGCAGATTGTATTGAGTGCCCTCTGCCTAAACTATTCCCAAGAACCACTTTTGAGCTGAAATTTTTATAGTTGGTGTCACCCAGGAGTGATTTCTATTTTAAGGGAGTAAGTGCGGGAGAAATTTCATCACAATTAATTTAGCCATTTGAGTGATTTGTGCGAAAAAGTGTTTTTAAGAAAACCTTTTAAGAAAATATTCAGTCACTTTTTTTTGTACTTTGGTACAGCAAATCAGAATTGGCTTTGTTTTAAAACTTCAGACTTGGTGCGTAAGTAGCCTTGAATGAGGCCTATTGACTTTGATAGATTTGAAGACATTTGGTTTTCAAGTACAAGTTACAATATTTTTAAAGGGAGTACTGAATATGTGCAGTATTTTATTTTCTTCAGACAGATGCTCCAAACGTTAATTCATGGGGATTTTTGGTCATTCTAAGAGCTGCACATAGGAGAATGTCTGACAGGTTGATGGGTGAGGAAATGGAGCCTTTCTTTAATCCTACAATAAATTTAATCCATAGCACTGAACTCAGTATAGCACCTTCAAAGTGAGCACTGCTACTTAACACCCCTTTCCTGCAACAGCCCTAATTTGCTAACGTGTCACTCATGCAGTGGCTTACTGAATTTTAAATTGAAAAGTACAAGTGTTCTCTGGGGTGAATAAATACTGTTTTGTTTATCTGCTTCCTCCCCCCACCTGTGCTAGATACTCACTTTGATAGCCCTATATCTCATTATTCAAAATAGATTAAACAGCTTTTGACCTTACCACACCCACTCCAAAGACAGGACAGAGGAGAGCTGACATAGGTATACAGTGTATTATATTATCATTATTATGTACTGAAGAAATGAAAAAAGTCTTTGAAGAAGCATGTGTCTGCCTCATATAGATGGTTCATAGTGTGGTGGAGTAAAGGTTAGAATGAAGGCTGTTTCTAGAACCTTAACTCAAAATGTCCAAACTTTCAAATATTTAGGTTTTTCGAATGGCAATAATCTAATAAAGCTTCTTTTTGTTTAAAGTAGCAGTGATTATACCCTTGTCTCTGTCTAAATGTGCTTGTTTATTGCAGAATAGTAAAATGAAAAGGAATTGCACCTTTTTATGACTGAGGATGCATGTGCAGTTGCATTTTTTAAGATTAATTTTAATTCTGCTCCTCCTTTAAAATTATATAAACAAATTAAATTATGTATTGTTGAAACTGCACCTTTTCAGTTTGCTTAGATGTACAAATGTGGTATTTTGAGTTACTCCATAGAGTTATTTACAGTATTTAGGTATTATATGATTATGACCCTTTGATAATGGCCAAATCCTGAAGTCCTTCCTCAGTCCAGGAGAAACTCCCACTGAAGTCATTGGAAACAGCCTGAGTAAGGAATGAGTAAAACCTGAATAGGACCTCCGAGTTTGTCCCTCTGTACAAAATGGCAGATTTCTAGTTGTTATGGAAATCTCACAATGTCCATTCTATTGTGTGTTTAAAACAGTACTTTTACAGTTACAACAGATTTTTGCACATCATTTTTCTTTATTTGAAAATGTACTTATTTTAACATGCAATATAACTAAAGCAGATTAATGTGGAGGTTTTTATTGAGTTTTTTATCCTTTCTTATCTAATTCAAAATATAGCTCATGGTTTGTTTGTTTTTTACATGTATGAACAAAAACATTACTTACTGCTACTTTTATCTAGCCAGACTAAGGGTTGTGCAGATCCATTTCTTATCCAAGAAATAGGAACAATCCATGTGTTACTTAACAAAAAACAAAATTGGACAATTTAATTAATTCTTATAGTTTAAGGAAACAAGCTCTAAGCTGATGTTGAATAAGATTGCAAGTAATTTCTTAAAAATCCAGCTGTCCCTTTCCCCTCTCTGATGCACTATATCTTTTCAGATGTTAGTACTCAAGTTGGGTCAACTCCTGGTCTCACTGAAGATCAAAGGGAGTTTTGGCTTTAAATTCAATAGGGCCAAGATTTAGCCTATAGTCCTTTGGCAGATCCTCAGATACTAGAATCTTTCTCTGGGGATTACTTTCCTTCTTCTAACAGTGATTTTATCCTTCTACATTCTCTCTTTTCATTACTCTTAACTCTTCATTCCCTTCCTGGCACCTGTAAAACACCTTTTTTCAGAAACATTTTTGCTAAAATGAGTTCTGTGCAGGCAAGAGACCCCGGATGCTCACTAAGCAGCACACCAGCCTTCTGCAAAAGGGCACCAAAGCTACTGCTACTAGAGTTAGTCATTTTGGAAGATCTTGGTCTCTGTGTCTGCCTTTTGCAGCCACATAATGGCCTTGCACAGTTGCTACCCAGGGGGAAATAATCCGTTGGAAAAGGGAATTGCATGCAATACCACTTCAAACTCATGCCTCCAATGGATTTCATTTGACAATTCTAGGGGAAAAAACAAACAGCTGTTCAAAACATAATATGCTAATGCAATATTTTTCTGCAATAAAAGGTAAACGTATGCTAAATGCTAAAAATATGAACTAAACATACTTGTAAGTAGTATTGTTTTCTGTCCTTTTATTATAAAATTGTTCCTGACTGATAATGCCGGTGGACAGATTGAATGTTAAAACTGGAAACCCATTTTGGCATGTCCAGGAGTCCATTATTTTTTTTACTGATGCTGGCAACTGAACTTCATTCTGTGCATCTACAACCTTCAAGAAAGGGCTGAATTAGAAACATTTATGAAATGTTTATTTATACTGATCCCAGCAACACGCTGGGGGATGTAGTAACGTATTTGAGAAATTATAACTGCTTAATCTTCATTCATGTGTATTTTATATTGAGAATCATTGTAACTAACCAGAAAAAAAGCATTATTGTGACTAACCTATAAAGGACCCAACTCTTTAGGGAAATCTGAAGTATTGCAATGACATTTCTAATTCTTGTAATTTGAGTCTTTACCTTTCTCTTGTTCATTTCAATATATTTGCACCTTTGGATGGTTAATGATAGACACAATTTGTTGTATGGGATTTTGTTTATTCTATTCATGTAAAGCACCTAGAATATAAGATAGACACTATAAAAACTAACAAATTAAATAAATAATGTAACACCTGACAACTGATTCTGGGCTGGATTCTCAGCTAGTGGGAACTGGCATAGCTCCATTGATTTAAATACTCCTACAACAATTTATGCCATATAAGAATATGATCCTCCATTCTTAAGGTAAGACTCTGGTGTAGCATTATGGAATCTTTTTCCACAGTAATTTTGGTACAGACATTATAATAAAAATCCATTATTAATATTTGTTTTCTTAGCGTCCAGTCTTATTCAGACTTTTAGCAAATATTAAAGGTGCTGGGGAGTTTCCCTGAAGTGTTGGGCCCTCATTGTAATATACATGAATAAATCCTGACCCTTTAGTGACTTATGATAAATAAACTAAATTTAAAATATTGTCTGAGCCAAAATATTTACTATGTATAAAAGTGAAGATATAAAAATAGAAGATTTTAAAGTTACACCAAAATAAAGACCAGCAAAGCTTATATGCAGTGTTGTTGTAGCTGTGTTGGACCGAGGATATTAAAGAGACAAGGTGGCTGAGGTAATATCTTTTATTGGACCGACTTCAGTTGGTGAGAGAAAAAAGCTGGGGGGTGGTAATTACAACAATTTATAACCCACTTAAATCCCCACTGCCCAGCTTTTTTTCCCCTTTCCCTTTATGACTGCAGAGGTGTTAATGAGCCACTTCACCTTGAATGGTCCTTAAAATATGTGTTTACTACTTATGATAAAAAAATCTGCTCCACCTGGTACAGTATTTAGCTGTGCTACTCCAAGTACATTTCCTAGACCTGAAGAAGAGCCCTGTGTAAGCCCGAAAGCTTGTCTCTCTCACCAACCAAAAGTCCAGTAAAATATATTACCACACCCACCTTGTCTCTCTGTGAGAAAAGGTTATCCATTTAAATGGACAAGTGAAAGATGACAAAATTTATTCGGAGCAAGAATAATCTATGCAGGTTTGTGCAGGCAGAGGCAAGTGGCTGTAAGTGCACAGACCTCCTCTCTGGCCCTTTAGGTATCTACACTGCAACTAAAAACCTACAGCTGGCCCATGCCAGCTGACTTGGGCTTGTGGGGCTCAAGCTAAGGGACTATTTAATTGTGGTGTAGACGTTCAGGCTCAGGCTGGAGCCCAGGCTCTAAGACCCTGCAAGGTGGGAGGGTCCCAAAGCTCTGGCTGCAACATGAGTCCAAATGACTACACCACAATTAAACAGCCCCTTAGCTCGAGCCCCACAAGCCCACGTCAGCTAGCACAGGCCAGCTGCAGGTTTTTAATTACAGTGTAGACATATCCTTCGTCCCTCATCTCTCCCATCAAATCTCCTGCCACAAAAAGCCTGCAAAGTGAGTTTGGGGGGTGGGGGTGGGGGTGTAGGAACTAGGCTAGGAGTAGATAAATTCCATTTCAAAGTTCCACAGTTGGTATATGCGCAGAATTTGGCCCATTCCAACCATTAAAACAAAAGTACTAACAAGACATGATAAGTACCATTTGTATGTGTGTCCACAGATCATCTTGGTTAACGCTTGAAAAGGAAAATGCTTTCAGGTATGACTGCAATGAAACAAATATAAACATCAGAGTTCATTAAGCTTTAATAAAAAAAAATCAGAAAAAGAGAAACTCATTCATGCTCATTGTTATTTTCAAACTGATAAACCCAGATGAAGAAGTTCAGTTTTCTAAACTCACACTGAGTGCTTTGATAAACAGCCTCTCAGTCAGAAAGCTGGAAAGCATCCAGATAATGGAGGCCCCCTATGGAACAAAAAAGATGTTTGAACATAGGAGTTATTATTTAAATAAACTTTAACCATTCAATGATTGATATTCAAGCCATATTTTTCATAAGTGACACTGGTCATTTCTATTTTGACTTTTAAATACTTAATATAGATTGCAAATGCATTCATATTCACGCTTTCCTGTAGATGAATACTTTTGCAACACTCGATGTACTTGTGTTTATAAACAAAAAATGGATCTATGGAAATTAAATCTTAGAAGAAGAGATAACTAAACTATTGTAAGCTTTGCAATAAAATGTTTTGCTGGTTCTTTTTAAATCTGTGTTTTACAAAACTGTTGGAAAGTACATAAAAGCAAAATATTTGATTTTCTTTTTTACCTTGTTGTAAGTGAAGATGTCAAATAGGCCAACTAGTGAAAATGTTCCGTTGATTTTTTCTTCTCTTGCTGATAATGACTGAGCTGCTATTTCTTTATCCACCCTTAAGACAGGTTGTAACATGTGATAATAAAAGAATTTATTCTGAAAATTAAAAGATAGACTCCCATTTCAATTAATTCCAGTTGTATAAACCACACAGACTACATACAAGCTAACATTTGCTTTTCAGCTCATTTTTCCCCCTCAAAAGGAAGCAATTTTCCCCCAGAATAAAGGGGGTCGGGGCCCTGATCCTGCAAATCCTCCAAAGGGGGAACTACCATCAAAGGTAGTCGGAGTTCTGCACACAGAAGGATGGCAGGTTTGGGTCTCATGAAGAGCACTAAAGTTTTACAATTTACGAAAAAATGTAAAAATTATTAAATACAAAATTTGCAAAATGTAAAAATGAATTATATATTTACATTTCAAGTACAATCAGTTCTTGCTTCACTTATCTGGCAAGACACATTCAGTGTTCTCTGTTTCCTATGTTGAAAGACTAAATAACACAATAGCCATCCAAAGGAGTGCAGTTTTAGGAGCTTCAGATGTCACTGGATAGCAAATGTGGAGAGCCAGATCCTCAGCTGGTGTAGATCAGCTTAGTTCCCTTAATTTTAATGGAATTGTGACAGTTTACACTAGCTGTCACCCCAGAGTCCTGAAGCCAAGTCTCATACTCAGGTAAGTAAAGAAGAAACTTGTGTTCATCTGTTTTCTTTGAACATGTATTTGTCATTTTAAGTCTACCCGGACGTTCAGCTACTAATGTGGGTCTGCAAGCAGGTGTTTTTTTATTTAATGTGTTTTTAAAACACTGCAGGTCTCTTTGAATACCTGCACTACCAAATAGGAGGAGACAGGCTTTTAAGAGATTTCAACTTATTTAGTTGCAGATTATTTTGTATTTTCCAAACAATTTTGGGAGCCAAATTTTGAAATGTTGCAGATGCAATCTGTGCTTGTAATTTTTTACCTGCATTTGAATTGTAGGTGAAAACCCGTAGTGCAGGTACCTGCAATTACCTGATTCCAGACACAAATCTGTAGCTGTACACATAACTAATGATGTTAAGTGATTTGATTTGCAATACATTTTGTGTCACAAAGTTACAGGCACAGACTTTTACAGGGGCAAACTCCATCTACAAAAAGAGACAAAGGCTTCATTCTTAAAACTTAGCCCTTTATACGTTCCTGTAGTATTAAGTTCTCCCGAGAATGTATTTGATATGCCCGTAGTAGTTTCCAATTCAGCAAAGTACTTAAGTGATGGCTTAATTTAACCACAAGCTTAAAGAGCAAATGGTAATTTTGGTGATCACAAACACTAATTTTCATCCCTAGCAGAGAATAAAATCCTGTTTTAAAATGAAAAACTCAACACAACCTTAACTATGGAGTTGTCATCAATGTCTCCACAGTCTCAAACATGAGAAGTTTACATTTACGTTATCAGTTGTGGAGTCATTTACATACAGAATACTAAACTAGGAGAGATAGAATTACATTCATTGTATCACATAGTTAACCTAAACAAGCAACAGCTTTCCAGGAATCATTCATGTGGAGTAGCCCCACCTCACACAATAAAGAAAAATATACAGCTTTGCATTTTTGACAGCCATGATTAATCATGTTGGATCACTGTGAATATATGAAACATGTTGTAAAATGTTATGTTCTATTATCTGACGTAATACAACATGGAGTGTCAGAAAGATTATTACAAGCTGCGTAGATATGTATAGAGTACATAAAACCAAACCCACCCATATCAATTAGGTATAGTGAATACCATTTCAAAATGAATGTATAGTAACAAACTGATTCAAAGCAAATACTGAAATGTTATCTCTGTGCTGCTGAAAGAGCAGATGCAATTGTGAGCCAACATTTGTCTCTATATTATATACACACACACCATTAGAGATGGGTGAAATGTTTTGGCTGAAACTTTTTTTTCCCCCAAACAAAAAAAAATGCATATTTGGGTCAGCTGAAACATTTTGTGCATTCATGCTGAATGTGCCAAATTATTTTGGTTAAAAAAAAAAATCTGAAAAAATTGAAAGGTTTCATTTAGAAAATGTTGGAATGAAACGTTGATTTTTTTTTATTCAAAATGATTTTTCATTTAGAAATTTGTTTCAATTTTATTTTAAAATGTTTTAAAAACTAAAATGAAATTAAACATTAGGTTTCAGGTCAAATTAAATGTTTTGTTTGATCCTAAATGAATTTTATTTTTACTTTTTGGAACAGCTAGAGAACCGAAAAATCAGTTATTCACACTGCTCTATACACAATATCTATATTATTTTCATTTAAAGTTATACGGGAACTGACGGTGAGCCCATTAAAGTCAATAGGAAAGCTCCCATTGACTACACGTCCCTGGTGTTGGATCAGGACAATAATGTAAGCTGTAAGGGGAAAGCGTTAATATTCAGCTTTGGTACTTACCAGTGATAGTCTGGGTTCTATGTAGCTAGCACCAATGTATTCAAAGTAAGATGCAAATCCTTCATTAAGCCATAGATCATTCCACCAATTCATGGTAACCAGATTTCCAAACCACTTAAATAGAAAAGAAAAAATGTCTCAGATTGCATTTCTTTGAACTGCTGCTTTCATTCCTTTATGTTAAACAGATACGAATGATCAAGAGAACAGCGTGCAGGGCCGGCTCCAGGGTTTTTGCCACCCCAAGCGGCCGGAAAAAAAAAAAAAAAAAAAAAAGCCGCGATTGCGATTGGCGGCACTTCGGCGGCAGCTCCACTGTGCCGCTTTCTTCTTCGGCGGCAGGTCCTTCCCTCCGAGAGGGACCGAGGGACCCGCTGCCGAATTGCCGCTGAAGAGCCCGACGGGCCGCCCCTTCCCCTTGGCCGCCCCAAGCAGCTGCTTGCTGAGCTGATGCCTGGAGCCGGCCCTGACAGCGTGACTTTATTTAATGTGTATACATTATCACAATCAAATGCTATAATTTTTTCCAGTTGGTGGAAATTCAGTAGTGCAAAGATATAACTTGAGAAAAGCCACACAGATGCAGGTCAGTGGTTGTATATTTTTAAATTCCTTGGTCTGAGATTTCATAGCATAAGCACATACAGTGATTTTAAACAGCTCTCCATTCTATTTAAATTAAAGCAGCCACTTATAAATTTGTAAATCTAGCAGAGAAAGCCAGACTACAATTTGAAAATACGGCATTTCTCAAATAATATACAAAAGTATTTTCTAAATAGCTTCTTTCCAATTAAATAATATTATTTTGTTTTTCCTTGTTCTTAACAAAAGGAAATTGTCAAATAGATGATAAACAGAACTGGGGAAACAACCACTTCCAAAATCAGCAAATCCATACCCTGGTGAGCAATAAAACTTCCACAACAGCTGTGATGTACTAATAGTTGGCAGTTTACATTTAACAAAAATCTGATATCATTTGGGGATTTGTGATTTCATTATATATTATTTGTTAATCCTTAAGGTCTGTTACTTTATTTAAAAACTATGTTTAATTAAGTAATAATATTTATTTTACTGGCCCTCAATAAACACACATGTGGACTAGCCAAGTTAAACTCTTTTTGCTAGCTTTATTTTTTAAAATACTTTCTCTTGGCAAAGTACTATTAAATGAAGTATAGTAAAAAATGAAGTGAAACTGCTTTATCATTCCAAACCAAATAATTTTAAATTCTGAAGATCATTATGTAAACAGTTCCAGCTACAGATAAAAATGTGTTTACCATGCCTTCATTCTATAGTTCAATAGCCTAGTCACTATTTGCCTTATTCGATAGTTACATCTATCCCCATTAAAAATTAACATTCTTTATGGAATCTATTCTCCCATCAGTGCATTGTGGGAATCATTACTCTATCTCGATATGCATACCACGTTCATTCCTAGAGTAGAGTATTTTCTTGGACGGTATCCAAGTATCTTGTAAGAAAATAAACAAATGGTTCATTAGTAGACATTATGTGTATATCCATAACCCATTTGAGTCAACTTTTCAAATAATGGTAATACTGTTATCAGTATTTTATAAATTTCATTCAAGATAAATAGATATTGGGTGAAGGTTCTTGTGTCATGCTGGAATTTGTTTTTTATATTGATCTGCCAAGTTAATTTATAACCGAAGTGTCTTCCAACCAACTGAAAACGGCTTTGGTTATTGCTGTAGCATTCCTTCCTCTAGTTACCATCAACTGTTACGCCCCTAAATGTAAGTCGCTATTAAACAGTGATTTTGCATCTACATAAACTGGAAAAGAGCAACTTCATAGATAAATACATATACAGAATGTTTTACCACATGCCTGGTGTCCTAGCTCATGTGAAACAATTAGGCAAATCATAGCCTTTTTGCTTCCGAATTGATCACTTGGGATGTACATCAAGGTTGATTCTCGGAAAGTCATTAGCCCCCAGTTTTCCATAGCACCTGCTCCAAAATCAGGCAGTGCAACCAGATCTAAATTGATTTAAACAGAAAAAAAAATCTTTAAAATGTTCAAGAGTAAAATGCTTACATGACTGTTCTATGTTTACCCAATGTGCAATTACAAGATATATTTTTAGTGGTTCTCTGCTGTACCATTGCAATAAACTAGAAAACGCTTTTTGGAATTGTTTTATTTCATGTCTTTAACTGTTTATGACACTGCTATGCCTCTCTAGGGATGCCGCCCTTTCAGTCAGAAAAACAAAAGTCAACTAAGTCCAAGCCAAACCCCTCAAGAGTTTCATGTACCAGAGTACATTCTGAACTAAAATATTTGATAAAGGAATTTTCCTCCCAGCTGCTGGGAGAGAGTAGATTCAACTCTCCCCATTCCTGAGTACTTCTGGCTCTCCATTTTCTCTGTCTTGCTTTTGCCCCAATTATGGGAGCATACGGGAGGGAGGGAGCAGAAAAAGACATCTTTTCTCTTTCTCTCTCTCTCTCTCATGGCTTCTAGGTGTGTAATTTCCCCCTCTTTTTGCATCCTGTCTACTGATAAGAAAGAGAGTTTGAGAGAGAGCCTATCCCTTGGTGAGCAGAGAGGCTCATTTCCACTCTTTTGTGTGGATCAAGTTGCCCCAGAAACACCTTCTCTCTCTCCTCACAACAAGTCTCACTCCACCATGTCTGTTTTCCCTGTATTCCCCATTGTGCCTGATAAGCAGTGAGCTCATTACATCTATGATTGAGATAAATTTTGGTAGGATGGGTTGATTTAAATCAAGGCAATTTAAATCAGTGATTTAAATCACTAAGTGGAAAGCCTTGATTTAAATCTTTGATTTTAATCAACTTTACCATTTGTGTATCAGTTATTTTCTAAAGCAGTGATTCTCAAACTAGGGCTGCCGCTTGTTCAGGGAAAGCCCCTGGCAGGCCGGGCCGGTTTGTTTACCTGCCGCGTCCGCAGGTTCGCGCCGCTTCCTGCAGCCCCCATTGGCCTCGAGCGGCGAACCGTGGCCAGTGGGAGCCACGATCGGCTGAACCTGTAGATGTGGCAGGTAAACAAACCAGCCCGGCCTGCCAGGGGCTTTCCCTGAACAAGCGGCGGCCCTAGTTTGAGAACCACCGTTCTAAAGGAAGGTCCATTCTCATTGATTGATATAACCGTTTAAAGGAGAGGTTACTCGCCTTGTGCAGTAACTGGAGTTCTTTGAGATGGGTGTCCCTGTGGGTGCTCCACTTCAGGGACACCTGTGCCTTTGAAGGGAGGTTTTGGTAGCAGTGCCAGTTCAGCCCACACATGTGCCCCACACATGCTTGCGCCCAGCACTGAGGTTATATGGGGCTGCATGAGTAAACTGTCCTCAGTTCCTTCTCCAATGCAAAGACCCACAAGGGAGACTCCAAAGCAGAGGGGAAGGAGGGTGGGTAGTGGAATAGCTGCAGGGACACACGTCTCGAAGAATTCCAGTTACAGCACAAGGTGAGTAACTTCTCCTTTTAATAGGTTATATCAACCAATGAAAAGGCACTTTTCTTTAGAAAATAAATGTGGTGTAGTGTCCCTATGGGTGCTCCACTTTAGGTGACTCCCGAACAGTATCCCCCATTAAGGAGGTGGGCGATTCAGAATAGAGTCCAGTACAGAAGAGAGAACTACATTGTCTAAAGCAGCATCTGATCTGGCCACAGTTACCAAGGCATAATGATTAGAAAAAGTCTGAACAGATGACCAAGTTGCCACTCTACAGATGTCTGTAATTGGTACATCCTTAAGTAAGGCTATAGAGGTAGATAGTGCTCTTGTGGAATGTGCTATCACTTTTGAAGGTGGCTGAACATGAGTTCTGTTGTAACAAATCTTACTACAACCAGAAATCCATTTTGACAACCTTTGTTTCAAAATTAGCAAACCTTTGTTTCTGTCCACAATCAGGGCCGGCTCCAGGCACCAGCTTAACAAGCAGGTGCTTGGGGTGGCCAAGGGAGAGGGGCAGCACCTGCGACAATTCGGGGGCAGCAGGTCCCTCACTCCCTCTAGGAGCAAAGGACCTGCCGCTGAACTGCCGCCGCCGATCACAGCTTTTTTTTTTCTTTTTTTGCTTGGGGCAGCAGAAATGCTGGAGCCGGCCCTGTCCACAATGGATACAAATAGGCTACGTGGCAGAGTACCTTCTTCTCCTCAGCAGGCTCAGTCCTTTTTAGCCTTGGAAACACAGGCTTGGGCAAAGCAAATCCTTGTAGGTAGCACAGGGTCTGGCTACTCCTTCCCTCAGTCAGTCCCTTGTGCTTGTTTTTCTTCCCTTCTGGGAACAGAGTGCAGCCTTCCTTGCTAGAAGGGTTCAGAGCCTTGCTGCACCTAGCTTACTAGCAGCTTCTCTCACTCTCTCTCCCCCCTCCCTTCCACACTGGGGAGGGTTTATAAAGGTCACAAGCAGTTGGAGCCAGCTGAACCTAATTAGTTCCCTGGTAACCCCTTGCCCAGCTGAACCTTATTTCCCCATGGTTCTCTCTCCTCAGTGGCTTGGGAGAGGCCTTTTTAACCCCCGAGGACTAATTACTACCCCCCCCCTTTTGTAGCTGTTTGTCCTGGGTTTGCCACAGCTAGGAGATCTTTTAAATGGTTTGGTCCTATCTAGATAGAAGGCTAATGCCTTCCTGACATCTAGGATATGGAATATAGCTTCTTGCGTAGTTGGGGGGGGGCGGAATGGGAGATGAATGGTTTGATTAATATGAAATTCTGAGGAAACCTTGGGTAAAAAAACCTTGGGTGTGCTCACAGCAACACTTTCTCTCTGGTGAATACAGTAAATGGGGAGGTCTGTCATTAAGGTCCTAAATTCTTCCACCCTTCAGGCAGAAGTAATTGCTACCATGAAGGCTGTCTTTGTTGAGAAATCTAATAAAGAACACATAGTTAGTGGCTCAAAAGGGTGTTTCATAAAGCAATTAAGTACTAGGATCAAGTCCCAGATCAGTGTAGGATCTCTGATTTGTGGGGATATATTTGATAAACCTCTTAAGAATTTTGCCATAGTTGGGTGAGCAAAGAGTGCAAAAACCCCTAAGGGTGTGTGACAAGCTGTTATTGATGCTAAATGAATCCTGATAGATTTCATAGAAAGACTCAATGTTTTCAGTTCTAATAGGTAATCCAGTACCTTGGGAAGAGGAGAGCGAGTCGGCGAAATTTGATGACTATTACACCAAAGATAATATCGTTTTCAGTTCTGGAGGTAAGTATTTCTTATAGATTCTTTTATACTATTTAATAAAATGTATTGTACCTCTGACAAACAGGATATCTCGATTCCTCAGAACCATCAAGGAACCATGCTTGGAGATTCAGAATCTGCAGATTCGGGTGAAGTGTTCTTGCCTACTGACCTAGGATGCTGGTCAGACTGATCGGAAGCCTCCACAAAGGGTGAGAGGTGTATATGATCAAATAAGGATACCAGACCTGTCTTGGCCATGTTGGTGCAATAAATATGACTCTGGCTCAATCTTGTTTGATCTTGTTGAGAACCTTTAAACAGGAAGGGGAAGGGGATAAGATGTTGCAGCTGTTAGACCATGTTGGTTAGATGGTTGAGACTTTCGACCAAGCTATCAAACTGTCGCTTGGAGGACATGGATGGCTGAGAAGATGTAGCTGTAGATGAAGGAGGATTTTTTTTATTATCTTTGTCTCTTGGCTGCAGGTTCAAGGGGCCTACAATATGTTGAATACGGGGCTTGGTGTGTTCTTTGTGCCATCAGAGACCTATTAAATCTCCTTTTATTTACAGAAGTGAAAATCCCTAAGGATTGCAGCATAGTTCTTGAGTCCTTTCAAGTGTGGAGAGATCACACTATCAAGTCTACGAAGTGCTTGAAACCGTCAAAGGGGAGGTCTTTGACAGTACTCTGAACCTCTCTTGGAAAGCCCGACAGCTGCAACCAAGGCGCTCGTCTCCTGACCATTGCAATGGAAATAGACCATGCTGCAGTATCTGCTGCATCCAAGGGGGCCTGGAGTGATGTCTTTTCCAGAAGCTGACCCTCTTGTACAACAGATCTAAACTGATCCCAATGTTTTTCTGGCAGATGCTCAATAAAAGAATTGTCAGATTTGGTCATGAGCACCAGATGGTTTGCTATTCTGAACTGAAGTATGGCTGAAGCATAGGATTTATGACCAAAAAGATCAAGCCTCTTGTGGTTTTTCATGTACAGGGTGGACTTTGAGCTATGTTTGTCTGCCTTGTTCATGAATGGCCTCCATTACTAGGAAATTTGGAACTTGGTGAGAAAATTGATACTCCAATTCCCTAATTGGAACATAATACTTTTATCCACCATCTTGCAGGTAGGTGGTGTGGTAGCTGGAGTTTGCCAAACCATCTTAGCAGGTGCCATAAAAGCTTCATTGACCAGAATAGCAATCTTCATAGATATCAAGTGTGTAAAATATAGGAGTTTATGGTAGGACGACTGAACCTTCACTAAGGAAATCTGCAGCATGTCAGAAATCCACTTCCTCAGTTCTTGAAATTGCCTGAAGTCATCTGCCACAGAAGGTGATGGAGGCATGACAACTTCATCATGAGATGTGGAGGAAATATTAGTAAGAGGTGTCACTTCCTTATCAGCCCTTGCCTCTTGCTCCTCAAAGGTCTCTTCCTCTGGCATAGGTGGTGGTAAAGGGGATTGAGAAGAATGGGTCCCTCTCTGTTCCCTCCGATGTTGCAAAAACCTTGATGTAAATTGTTAGTGATAGAAGCCCACAGATCTCAGCAAGGCCACTGAGGGGGCCCAAATGGCAAAAGTGGAGGCAGCCATCTGTGTTCCTGCCATGTGGGCATCCTTTGAAGTCTATCCTCCTGTAATATGTCAGTATAGTAGGGAGTGTGACGTGTCCCAGAATAGATAGGGGAACCTGCACTGAAATTTGAGAATCTGATGAGTTCTCTTCCACATACTCTAAGGGGGCGATAGCTGTTCCACTTGCAGAGTAGATGAGGGTGTGTGTGGTGCTTAGGTGATAAAGGGGTTAGTCACCAAAGGCATCTTGACAGTGACAAACCGCCACTCATTCACAGAAAATACTCCAGCTCACAAGATATTATCAGGTCCTTAGGGTACCTAAACTCTTGCAGTACCAACAGTATCAAAGATTGGGCTGAGTGAGAACCTGTGGAGGATGGGTTTGGTACCGATGCAGCCAGTACCAAGTACTTACTATGGGAATGAGTTGGCTCTGATTCCCTCATTACCACAGGTAGGCAAGCAGTCTTTGGTATTATTTATCTTCTTGTTATCAGTACCAAATATTGTTGCGGGATCTGCTTGGTCTTTTCAACCATGTCTCTGCTGCTCTGGGTATGGGAATCCGAACTTGGTACTGAGTCTGACTTAGAGGACTGACTCCTCTTTGCCTTTGCAGTACCAGCCTCGCTGGGAGCCTACATGGAACTACCCTTGGGACCCGAGGTTTCTGTAGCCATCTTGTGAGATGGTGACCGAGAGATTCTTGGAGATTTACTCCTTGCCTCCTTCTGCTTATAGGCAGATATGAATGAGAACTTCAGCACCGTAGATGTACTCAGTTCCACGGTACTGCCTGCCTTGCTACTGGTCTCTGGTGACCAAGATCTCAGTGTGGATGGGGTACTAGCTGTATTGGGAGGTCTATATACCCCCAGATCTGAAACTGGACATAAAGTTTGCTCCATCATTAGGAGTTTAAACTTAATTTTTCTATTTTTTCAGGAGCTACCCTTGAAGGAAGTGCTGATCTTGCACATACTGGGGATATGAGTACCACACAGGCAGCAGAGGCACTGGGAGTGTCTATCACTTATTGGAATAGCCTCATGACAGGAGAGACACCTCTTGAATCCTGGGGAGTCCAGCATTCCTGAGCAAAACTCATGAAAATTTAACCCCAGGAGGGGAAATGTCCTAACTACACAACTATATGAATAAAAAGGGGGGTTTGTTTGCCCTTTTGGGGGGGGGGGGGCAGAAAGAAAAGCAAAACAAATGGAACATTTTTTCCCAATAACTAGGACACTGTAGGGTAAGTAACCATAAGGTAACCAACTATCTGAGAAAAAAGCTAGATATCGGAGAACAGGCACACAGTAGAGACTGTCTCAGGCCAATGGTGGTTGTGAAGGAACTGAGGGTGGTTCACCCATGCAGCCTCATATAGTCAGGGCTGCCCAGAGGGGGGGGGAAGTGGGGCAATTTGCCCCAGGCCCTGCAGGGGCCCCCATGAGAATATAGTATTCTATTGTATTGCAACTTTTTTTAATCGAAGGGGCCTCCGAAATTGCTTTGCCCCAGGCCCTCTGAATCCTCTGGGCAGCCCTGCATATAGCCTTGATGCTGGGCACGAGGATATGTGGGGCACATGTGTGGGCCGAATGAGCACCGCTACCAAAAATCTTCGATTGAAGGCACAGCGCTCAAGCGTACCCGAAATGGAGCACACACAGAGACACTACGTGAAGAATATGTTGATTTACAACTAAATAGTGCCTTTACACTACATTTGGTACATAGTTTTGCTACCTAGGAAGTAACTATAATTATATACATTTATTTAAGGAATTATATAGCTTAATATTTTCAGATTCTTATTAATTGTATATTTTTGTATGTTAGAAAATGATTAATAATATATTGTTTATTTACTAGTTAATTAACTTTTTGCTCCTGATTTGTGTCTAGGATGGTAACTGGGATTTAATTAAACACAAAACACAGCATATTATTAAACAAAATATTTTGGATACATAAACGTCTCATCAAAATATGTTTCACATTTATAACTAAATTACAAGTTTAAGGCCTTTGTATTAAATTCAGATGTCATTTTAACCAGGTTTATTTTTAAAAAGAAAAACAGTATAATAAAAAAATTTAAATAAAAATTTAAATAAAAAATCCAATTAAAAAAAAAATTTAATCTTCAATTTTTATCCATGCTGGATTTGGACATTGAAGGAAATGAAGAAAGATCTCAAATGGACATCAAGGATATCAACAACAAGGGATATTTCATTTAAAACTAGATAGGTGGTAACTAATGAGCAAATTTAATCTCCCAGACTATTAAAACATTATTTAGATATTTTTAATTGTCAGAGTACAAAATAAAAGGAAACTGGTGGTTAAAAATGCTTTCTTTAGCTCTTATATATTAAGAAGAGCTCAATTTTTTAAACTGAAATGAATTGATTTTTAACTTTCTGTTTTTGAGCTCATAATAAATGTGCTCAGTATTTACACGAAACCATTCACAATGGGTCATATCATGCCATGGATTTTTAAGCCAAACTCTCAAATGAAGTCAAAAGGAAGTCCGCTTAGTAACTCATGTCACCACAAAGCTGAAATTTTTACTAAGAGGCCTATGTCACCACTCCATTGATCTAGTTTATACCGATGTCACTCTGTTGAAATCAATGAAGATATACTGGTGTAAAAGTGGAGAAATGCAGTGGTGAATCAGGACCCATAATGATGTCTAGCACCTTTGCACAGAGTATACATAAAACTAAGATAATGAGGTTTAAGAAATGGCTATTGCACATTTCTTTCTAAGCAGAAATAGAGTTTGCCTACACGGGTTTTTTTTCCAGGAAGGAAGATGCAGGGAGATGTTGGAGAGTTACAAGTTAGAATAAGGGTACGTCTACACTTACCGGAGGGTCCGGCGGCAGGCAATCGATGTTCTGGGATCGATCCCAGAAGTGCTCGCCGTCGACGCCGGTACTCCAGCTCGGCGAGAGGAGTACGCGGCATCGACGGGGGAGCCTTCCTGCAGCGTCTGGACCCGCGGTAAGTTCGGACTAAGTACTTCGAATTCAGCTACGTTATTAACGTAGCTGAATTTGCGTACCTTAGTCCGAAGTGGGGGCTTAGTGGGGACCAGGCCTAAGACACTGCACCAAAAGCTAGTAAGGTGCAAAGAGATGCTGGTGACTTACAAGTTAGATGGGGACATAGTACAGGAAGCAAGGAAAGTTTGGGGAGGTGTGGATTAATTACATGTTAGGAATGATGTTTCAGGGAAAGCCAGGTCAGTGTGGGGAGAGGTCACTGACTTATAGATTCATGAAATATGCTGCATAGAAAGAAGGGAGGAAAAGGGGAGAAATTGAAGAATAAAGGGTTAGAGCTAGTTAGGGTTGCCAGGCATCTGGTTTTCGACCGGAACGCCTGATTGAAAAGGGACCCTGGCAGCTCCGGTTGGAACTGCTGACCGGGCCGTTAAAAGTCTGGTCAGCGGTGCAGTGGGGGCCCAGAGCTCAGGCAGGATCCCTCCTTGCCCTGGCTCTGCACGGCTCCCAGAAGTGGCTGCCAGGTCCCTGCGGCCCCTAGGCGCATGCGCGGCCAGGGAGGCTCCATGCGCTGCCCCCGCCCAAGTGCCGGCTCTGCAGCTCCCATTGGCTGGGAACCATGACCAATGGGAGCTGTGGAGACAGCGCCTGCGGGTGTGAGGGCAGTGTGCGGAGCCTCCCTGGCCACCCATGGGACTAGGGGCCACAGGGACCTGGTGGCCACTTCCTGGGAGCCGTGATAAGTGCCACTGGGACCCCGCACTCCAAACCCCCTACCACACCCTAACCCCCTGTCCCAGCAGAGAGTCGCCTCCTGCACATCAATCCCCTGCCCCAGCCTGGAGTCCCCTCCCGCACCCAAACTCCCTCCCGGAATCCGCACCCTGCACCCCCACACACACCCCAAGACCCTGCCCCAGCCCTGGGCCCCCTCCTGCACTCCAAACCCCTCATCCCTGGCCCCATGCCAGAGCACACACTCCCAGCCAGAGCCCTTTCCCCCTCCCCCACCACCCCCCTGCACCCAACCCCATGCCCCAGCCTGGTGAAAGTGGGGGAGAGCGAGCGATGGAGGGAGGGAGCGAGCAGAGGGGTGGGGCCTCGGAGAAGGGGTGGGGCAGGAGTGTTTGGTTTTGTGCGATTAGAAAGTTGGCAACCCTAGGGTTTGTATTCTCTGAATCCTGCAAAGATTAAAATAAGAGTCTGGCAAAACAGGACCCAGTATTTCTGTAGATGTTATATCAGCAGCAACCATTTGTGTTTAATGAAAGGAAGGTACCTCACCTGTTTTTGAAAGAGGGTAGCTGATGTTAAATAAATCTTCCAGAAATGAAAAAAGTGGGCCTGTGATATTTAAAGCATAGTCAGCATGTCCGTTTTTAATTGCTTCTTTACGACCCCAAATACGTATCTATAATAAAACAAGGAAATGTTATTTTAGACAATTTAATTTTTCACTTTCTTCACCTCTCTTCTGTGAAGGTAACATTTCTGAACAGCTGTTTTGGAAATGCTGCCTGTCCACATCAGATTCTGCAATTAAACTTTTCATACAAGAAAAAAAGACCAATTTATCACTTGTCCTAACAAACTAATGGGCAAATCCTAATCCCATTGAAATCATTGAGAGTTTTGGCACTGCCTTCAAAGGGACCAAGATTTGAGTCTAAATGTATATAGATAGTTTCCTAAAAAAAACAGGAGTACTTGTGGCACCTTAGAGACTAACAAATTTATTAGAGCATAAGCTTTCGTGGGCTACAGCCCACTTCTTCGGATGCATATAGAGTGAAACATATTGAGGAGATATATATACACACATACAGAGAGCATGAACAGGTGGGAGTTGTCTTACCAACTCTGAGAGGCCAATTAAGTAAGTGAAAAAAACTTTTGAAGTGATAATCAAGATAGCTCAGTACAGACAGTTTGATAAGAAGTGTGAGAATACTTACAAGGGGAGATAGATTCAATGTTTGTAATGGCTCAGCCATTCCCAGTCCTTATTCAATCCTGAGTTGATCGTATCTAGTTTGCATATCAATTCCAGCTCAGCAGTCTCTCGTTGGAGTCTGTTTTTGAAGTTTGTCTGTTGTAAGAAAAGCAACATCACTTGCCCCATAATCTCAGCCATGCTGAACACAATGCCATCTACAGCCTCAGAAACAACCCTGACATCATAATCAAAAAGGCTGACAAACGAGGTGCTGTCGTCATCATGAATAAATTGGAATATGACCAAGAGGCTGCTAGACAGCTCTCTAACACCACATTCTACAGGCCATTATCCTCTGATACCACTGAGGATTACCTAAAGAAACTACACCATCTGCTAAAAAAACTCCCTGACAAAGCACAGGAACAAATCTGTACAGACACATGCCTAGAACCCCGACCAGGGATATTCTATTTGCTACCCAAGATCCATAAACCTGGAAATCCTGGACGCCCCATCATCTCAGGCATTGGCACCCTAACATCAGGCTTGTCTGGTTATGTGGACTCTCTCCTCAGACCCTACGCTACCAGCACTCCCAGCTATCTTCGAGACACCACTGACTTCCTGAGGAAACTACAATCCATCAGTGATCTTCCAGAAAACACCATCCTGGCCACTATGGACGTAGAAGCCCTCTACACCAATATTCCACACAAAGATAGACTACAAGCTATCAGGAACAGTATCCCCGATAATGTCACAGCTAACCTGGTGGCTGAACTTTGTGACTTTGTCCTCACCCACAACTATTTCACATTTGGGGACAATATATACCTTCAAGTCAGCGGCACTGCTATGGGTACCCGCATGGCCCCACAGTATGCCAACATTTTTATGGCTGACTTAGAACAATGCTTCCTTAGCTCTCGTCCCCTAACGCCCCTACTCTACTTGCGCTATATTGATGACATCTTCATCATCTGGACCCATGGAAAAGAAGCCCTTGAGGAATTCCACCATGATTTCAATAATTTCCATCCCACCATCAACCTCAGCCTAGATCAATCCACACAAGCGGTCCATTTCCTGGACACTACTGTGCTAATAAGCGATGGTCACATAAATACCACCCTATACCAGAAACCTACTGACCGCTACCCTTACCTACATGCCTCCAGCTTCCATCCAGGACACACCACACGATCCATTGTCTACAGCCAAGCTCTAAGATATAACCGCATTTGCTCCAATCCCTCAGATAGAGACAAGCACCTACAAGATCTCTATCAAGCATTCTTAAAACTACAATACCCACCTGCTGAAGTGAAAAAACAGATTGACAGAGCCAGACGAGTACCCAGAAGTCACCTCCTACAAGACAGGCCCAACAAAGAAAATAACAGAACACCACTAGCTGTCACCTTCAGCCCCCAACTAAAACCTCTCCAGCGCATCATCAGAGATCTACAACCTATCCTGAAAGATGATCCTTTACTCTCACAGATCTTGGGAGACAGACCTGTCCTCGCTTACAGACAACCCCCCAACCTAAAGCAAATACTCACCAGCAACCACACATCACTGAACAAAAACACTGACCCAGGAACCTATCCTTGTAACAAAGCCCGATGCCAACTCTGTCCACATATCTATTCAAGTGACATCATCACAGGGCCTAATCACATCAGCCATACCATCAGGGGCTCGTTCACCTGCAAATCTACCAATGTGATATATGCCATCATGTGCCAGCAATGCCCCTCTGCCATGTACATTGGCCAAACCGGACAGTGTCTACGCAAAAGAATTAATGGACACAAATCTGACATCAGGAATCATAATACTCAAAAACCAGTGGGAGAACACTTTAACCTGTCTGGTCATTCAATGACAGACCTGCGGGTGGCTATCTTACAACAGACAAACTTCAAAAACAGACTCCAACGAGAGACTGCTGAGCTGGAATTGATATGCAAACTAGATACGATCAACTCAGGATTGAATAAGGACTGGGAATGGCTGAGCCATTACAAACATTGAATCTATCTCCCCTTGTAAGTATTCTCACACTTCTTATCAAACTGTCTGTACTGAGCTATCTTGATTATCACTTCAAAAGTTTTTTTCACTTACTTAATTGGCCTCTCAGAGTTGGTAAGACAACTCCCACCTGTTCATGCTCTCTGTATGTGTGTATATATATCTCCTCAATATGTTTCACTCTATATGCATCCGAAGAAGTGGGCTGTAGCCCACGAAAGCTTATGCTCTAATAAATTTGTTAGTCTCTAAGGTGCCACAAGTACTCCTGTTCTTTTTGTGGATACAGACTAACACGACTGCTACTCTGAAACCTGATAGTTTCCTAGTTATTCTTTTATTAAATATGAAACACCACCTTATAACATAATAACATTGAAGACCGCATATTTAAAAGTGATATTTTAACTTGTACCAGCAAAATGGCATGTGCACCTGTCTGTGGTCAGAAATGGGCTTTTGGACAGGCAGATTAGGTATTTGCATGAATAAACTGATAAATATACTGTTACCCCATCAATATGCCCATATGGGTGCATGCATTAATCGGAGGCCCTTTGAAAATTTAGCCAGCAAGTTTTGAATACATAGCAGTTTGCAAAATTAAACGTAGATGTGAGTTCTGCACATGCAAGTGCTTGTACATGTAAAATTTCTGGGCACAGTTTTAGAGGCATTTGATCTCCAGATTTTAATTTCAAGTGAAAAAGTACGGGTATTCAGTTAACATAGTCTCTCCAGCCTTGAGCTCCCCTTTTCTGACAATGTATTGTAAGAGTCTCAAAACAGCATACCATTGTGTTCTTCAATACCCAGACACAAAGGGTAGAGTTAAAATCATAGTACAGCTTGAACTTTAAATACCCTGGCGTATAGCAGACTCTCGTGGATATAATTTCAAACAGACATTTATTGTAAACTATTCTTGCAAAAGAGACAAAGAATTAACTGTTTGTCCATTAATGCACATACTTTGGAGGTGAAACTTGGATATCTATGTTTGAAAATTAAAGACAAAATCCTGCCCCTTCTGCTTTCCAACAGCAGCAGAGAAGGACTGCAACCAAATGCTCACAAGTACTAATTTGGGGGTCTGGCTACTGTCCTAATAAGCACATCTTGGCTCAACGAGATACAGTAACTCCTCACTTAACGTTGTAGTTATGTTCCTGAAAAATGCGACTTTAAGCGAAACAATGTTAAGCAAATCCAATTTCCCCATAAGAATTAATGTAAATGAGGGGGTTAGGTTCCAGGGAAATTTTTTTCACCAGACAAAAGACTATCTTATCTATATACCCACACACACAGTATAAGTTTTAAACAATCAATTTAATACTGGTACACAGTGATGATGATTGTGAAACTTGGTTGAGGTGGAAGAGTCAGAGGGTGGGATATTTCCCTTACTGCTAAATGATGAACTAGCAATTAGCTGAGCCCTCAAGGGTTAACTCTCTCACTCTGCGGGGCAGCAGGAATGGAGGGAGATATGCGCATTTCCCTTAAGTACACTACCTTGTTAATTAGATCAACTTGCTGAGACGCAGCTGCTACAAGCTCCCTCGGTCCTGAGCCCTGCTCTATGGAAGGTGGGGTAAGCGGGTTGCAGGAGGGAGGGGGACACCCTGAGATTAGCCCCCCTCTTCCTTCCCTCCCCCCCCCCCGGCACAGCAAGCAGGAGTCTCGGGGAGCAGCTCCAAGACAGAGGGCAGGAGCAGCAAATGGCAGTGGGGGGAGGGACACAGCTGAACTGCAGGCAGCTGCTGCACAGGGAACTTAGGGGAGTGGGGAGCTGATAGGGGGAGCTGATAGGGGGGCTGCCGGTCCACCCTGGTTCCAAGGCCCCACCAGCTTGCTGCAACGGGCTGCTCTTCCTGCAAGCAGTAGACAAAGCAGGTGGCTGCCAAACGACGTTAGAAGGGAGCATTACACAACTTTAAACGAGCATGTTCCCTAATTGATCAGCAACGTAACAACGAAACAACATTAACCGGGACGACTTTAAGTAAGGAGTTACTGTATAGTCTGCAATTTTGGAGGCTTGGTCAGACCTCCAAGCTCCCAACATGTCTGATGTAGTGTGCAACAGGCACCATACCAGTGTATGCTTCTCCATTATAAAGGAGCAGTAGAGTGCTTTCTGCTGCACATTTGTAGTGTCTTCTATGGACCAGCCTGAGCCATTGTGCTTTGCAGTAGTGGGATGGCTATGGGACCCACCATGTAACTAATACTTCTTTGGCATTCATTAAGTGAATCAAATACTAAGGGTAAACTTTACCCTTGGCTCAATATTATTTTAGCATAGATTTTTATATCTAATCGCCTTTTGTTTTTCAACAAACAAAATTAAACATAATAATAAAATAACAACTTTTTGACATTTTTTTCCTTAAAGAGTTATAGATACAATACCACAACAGGACAATTGTAACATGGTATGGACATCATTCACTGCATAGGAAAACTAACTTGAGGGCATACAATAGGAGCTTTTAAAAGTTAAAAATTGTGTCAATATTCAAAAACAGTATAAGTTATACAGTATACGTCTATACTAAGGACTTGAAGCACAGCACTGTTCCCATTCAAGTCATTAGGGTTGGGATTTTCAAAGGAACTTAAGAGAGGTTTTATTCTGCTCATAAATCACATCAGAATTTATTTATGTAGTGATCTGTACAGAGTATATAAACTCTAATTATTATGAAGGAGATTTTTCTGCACATGTATTTATTGGATAAATGTTAACAGTTTTACCATGTAATCAAATACTTTCAAAATAGGACGTATATTCAATACAAGTTACATCTTATCAAACATACAGTGCACCACAGAACCAATTTATTCTGTTAGCTGCTCTAATGAGTGATGCAGACTCTTATTTACCTCATTGCCCCTTTCAGTCCTGGTGATGTAATCAAAGTCACAAACCACAAAAGCAGTTAGATAAGTTGACATTTTCAGTGTCGTGTTAAATGTGGTAACAGTCCATAGGCTTCCATTCTCATCTTTCATTTCAGATGTATCTAGAATAAAAACAATTTTAGTATAGAAACAAACTATCGCTACTATACAATAAAACAAGAGTTTGTGTTTTCAAACCAATCTTTTATACATCTCTTTATTACATTTTAATACTCTGTATGACAGCACTGGCTACATATATTTTGGCAATAGCACCATGCCAACTTTCCCACTTAGCTCATTCCATGTACTTGAATTATGACCTTAAATACAAAGACTCTACTACTCCACTCCTCAGCTTCTTAATCAAAATCTATGAAGCATATCAAACTTTGCATTAGTTTTGGGATGTGGAAAAGCATAAAAAAATATTCATCCATGCTATACTTCTATAATATGTATGTTCATAATATCACTCAAGTAAATATCAAACATGCCTGAGAGTTATCAAATACTTAAATCTCACATGCTTCAAATAAAGGGCCCAATCAGACCGTCCACAGAAAAACACATGGAAGGAGGTTCTGAGAGAGGAAATATTTGCAGACTACCTTCACAGATATTCCCCTGTTTTAGTCCCAAAGTTACATTACATGCCTCACAGATTTGGTAACCATTGACATTTATTACTTAAAATTATGTACATGAGAAATAAAGAATCATGACAATGAGGATATTAAAAGAGACATTTACACACGAAAGGAAGGAATCTCACAGCTTTTTAGGTTTCCTGCATGAATACTATCTGTCCCTCATTTGGCATCTTTGTCACACACAGCATCCCACATTAGGTGAGAATCAGTGGTGAGAAACATTGCCAGAGCAGTATATAATAGCTTGCACTGCTGCTGACCCTGTCATGTCTATTCTGTGGATTAACAGAAGATTTCAATTATGTGACTGTTAAGGCAGTTTTCATAAGCACCCAAGAATTTTTTTTTAAGATACACACAATCTCCCCCGCACCCTGTCCTTAAAAAACAGAAGTATAGCTCTCACACGTACAACACCACAACTTCAGAAGTAAGTAAAAGTCATGCAGTAAAATATACTGAGTAAACACTGTACAGTAAGACTCAAAACATGAACTGTTGTGCAATCAAATATCACAGCTACCAGACATGGATATGTCACCATTGAAAGGTGACCCAATACCACCACCACCCACCTTTCAAGACTGTGACTGTGCATATTTACCTGTGAATTTATAGATTTTTACTAACCCTCTCTGACTTTTTTTTCAGACCTACTAAATAATATTCCTGCCTCAACAACCCATGTCTCTTAGGACTTGCCTACACACAAAAATTAATCTGGAATAAAAGTAGAGTATGAATTCAAAACAGATTAAGTATTCCTGATTAACTCCATGTGCAGATTCTTATTCCAAAATAAGGCACTCATATTCTGGGGGCCAGGGGGAAGTTTGCACATGGAGTTAATCAGGAATAGCTATTCCAAAATAAGTCCCTCTCTCAGGCTGGTTGGCCCTTTAAGGCAAGTTGGACTGAGCCTTGCCCATGACCTAGCAGTTACCCGTTAATCTTTCCTCTGATCTAGCCAGGTAGGGATAATTAGTGATCCCAGCTAGGTGTAATGGAGTTATAATGACTGACCCCAGCCACAGAGGACAACTTAAATGGAGCTGAGCTCAGTTGAGGGAAGAAGACCCGGGAGAGGGGAGGTAGGGAGTTCCCTCTCACTAGGAAGGCAGAAGAAATAGAATCAATCCCTGTAATGGGCCTGAAATGGGGGCAAGATCCAGGGAGAGACTGCAGAGATGGCAGGACTCTTTGGAGAAAAGCCCACAGGGAGTAGAGTAGACTGTTGTGTCAGGGAACCCTGAGATAGGGTTTGTAAGTGGAAGCAGAAGACTTAAGTAGCCCAAGGGGGCAACAAAAACTATTCAGATTTGTTTTGATTTTCATTTGGACCTTTCGGTTACCTCAGATAGGGTTTGAACTTTGTGACTTGGCCAGAAGGCTGAGCCATGGAAGATCTTGTTAGAGGCAGATGCCAGCAAAAGGCACTGGAAAAAAGGAGACCACTGACATTGGGGGGGAGGGGGGGGAGGAGGGCACTCCAGGGAGCAGTTTTCCCCACCCTACTCCCCATGTAGACAAACCCTAACCCTTTCTGTCCCCAAACAGGAGCAGCAACTGCCTCCTTTTAGGAGATGGAGTCCTCCTCCAGTAATCTATCAACATCACTCTTTTGACCAGCAAGGACTACCATAGGACCATTCAAAGTCTTTCCACACAGACCTGAGAACCTGGCCTCTGCAACATCATGTTCTGCTAACCTCCTTCCACTTACATTTCTTTTTTTACAGTTAACCTCCAGTCCATGCTCTGTATTATTGCTCTGTATTGCTAGGACAGAACACATTAATTGAACAGAATTTTCAAATATTTGAGCTTTTAGTCCATGGATAACAGATCACTATAGTACAGGATGATACAGTAAAATAATGTGCTATGATTATACACTGTTGAAGTAAATTCAAACCTTTATTAAGGTAACTTGGAGAAATACAGATGTCTATTTTTTAACCTACCTATAGCAGGCATGTTGGAAAGGGCCACATAACTGGGATGATGGACAATTATGATATTAAAGGTTGCCTTCATGGCAGGTTCATCAAAGCAGGGATAAACAGTCCTGGCATATGTTGGTTCAAGCTGTGATGCAATCAGCATACTAAATTGGAAATACAGATATGGTTAATCCAGCATGTTGTAGCTGATCAAAACCATTATATAGTGCACAAAATCTGCCAAGTTAGAAAAAGAAAAGGTAAATCATATACATATGTGGATTTAGAAAAGGGTTAGTCATTATTTAGAGAAATTTATGACTCAGTTGTCCCCCACAGAGATCCATGTGCAGATTTGCGCATTGTTTAATTCAGCCATTTTAATGGCTAATTCTTTTCTTACATGTCTTTCTTTTCTAACTGAAGAGTTCACATTTTTATGTATTTGTTCTTACTGCTTGTGGTAGTTTGGAAGAGGGCTTTTGGGCAGAGTGCAGCGGGCCAGGGGAGAACCCAATGGCCAAATTTTCAAAAGTGTCCACTGGTTTTGGGTGCCCAACTTTAGACAATTGAGGAAAATCCTTACTGGAGAGAAGCAGGGAAGATACTGACGGAGGGGGAGGGATAGCTCAGTGGTTTGAGCATTGGCCTGCTAAACCCAGGGTTGTGAATTCAATCCTTGAGGGAGCCATTTAGGGAACTGGGGAAAAAAATCTGCCTGGGGATTGGTCCTGCTTTGAGCAGGGGGTTGGACTAGATGACCTCCTGAGGTCCCTTCCAACCCTGATATTCTATGATTCCCTGTACAAACCAAATGCAGATGCATCACTGTAACAGGGATTGGAGGCAGATCTACAGGTAGACCACGAGAGGATACAGCTGGAGATGAACCACCTGTGTTTTGAAAACCAGCTGCTTGAAGATGGGTATCACCAAGGTGAGAGAGAAGATGGGTAGTGCCAATGTGAGACAGAAGACAGGGAGTGCCACTGACAGCATGAGGAAAGAGAGAAGGACGGGGAATGTCAATATCATCTTGAAATGGTCAGATTGTACCCACAAAACCCTAATCCGGTAGGTGAAACCAGACGCCACGTATCTGTCCCAATGGGTGGCAGAGACTCCAAATTATTTCCTTGCTTTAAGGAAGGCAATGATATGGATGTGTTTCTAAATGCTTTTAAAATGGGGTGTGAATTGAATAAGATAGGGCAGGAGGACATGGTCTGGTGCCTAGCTCCATTACTATCACAAACGAAGGACTTAGACATTTTCACCCTTATGGACAGAGAGAAATATAAACATCATGGGCAACATAAACAAGCTTTCTTGCCAAAGTTCAAACTTCTCCCTGCATATAGAAGGTCTGGGGAGTTCAGAAAAAAAGGGACATGATCTATGCTGAGGTTTCACTTCAAATTATGGGCTATATAAGAAAATGGGGAACTGGTTGGAGGGTTTCCATGGTCGATGAGGTCTATGAATTAATGGGCTTAGAACAATTCCTTAAACTCTGCTACCCCAACCTGAAATAATGGTTAATAGACAAAGATCCTAGAGGCATGACCATATCTGGGAAATGGGCCGACTAACATGCAGACAGTCCATTGGCAGTTGAAAGAAAAATCAAGGGAGATAGCACAAATCTGACCACCCAATCAAGACCCCTCCTCCCCCCCGAAGGGACTAAATCCAGAAATGGTAGGAGGCAAACCATAATAAGGGCCCAAAAAGGGAACCTGGGGAGCTGATATGTTTTTATTGCCATAAAAGTGGTCATAAGACAAAATACTGCCTGATGCTAGGGAGATCAGAGGCTAGTTGTAGCACACAGCAGGTCCAGGTGGCAATGACTCCACTACCAGTGGAACCAAAACTAGTCCTATCAGTGAACTTGACTCTATTAGACTCCAAATGGGAATCAATTAAACACTGTTTCCCAGTGGAGGTGGATGGGAAACAGCCCAACGATGGAGGGATACTGGAACCCAAGTAACTGGTATGCCCATGAGCAGTGGACACCTCATGGATCAGTCCAGATAGACTCATAACCATTCAGGGAATAATAGGTCCCCATTTCCATGTCCCTGTGGCTCCGATCCACCTGAAATGGGGTGGCAACCAGGGCCCGAATACTGTTGGGGTACCCTCCCAACTACCAGAAGAGGTCTTGCTAGGAAATGACCTACAGTCCTGGGCCTGCGCCACTTTTATGGTTACTTGGAGCCAAAAACAGAAAGCCACAGCCCCTGCCTCAGACCGAGCTGAAAGTTGGCACACAGCTTTGAGCCGCTGCCTGACAGTGTAAGTGCATGGCCTGGGCCTAGGCAGAGTCCTCCTGATTCCTCCTCTGAGGTCTGTGTAAGTGGGCCCCAGTGAGCAGACTAAGCTCTCCCAGTTTCCGCTTTGGAAATCAAGCAGAAACAATTAACTGACTCCTCAAGGAAAACCTAGGGCTGCAGCAGACTCCCCTGGCAACTTCCTGGCAGGATGGCACCTGGAAAGGTTTCTCTGGGATCAGAGTTTGCTTTACATAGAGTGGATGCTCCTTAAGAATGTTGAGCCACGGAGTGTACAGAAACAATTGGTGGTATCACAAAAGTACCATCTTAGACTACTCAGGCTAGTTGGGACACTTGGGAATACAGCTCAGCAAACAGCGCTTACTCCTGAATTTCTACTGGGCTTGGGTTTTTGAGGCAGTGCAAAAATACAGTAAGAGCTGTGACCCCTGTCAGAGGGTGGGAAATGGCTGGAATAAGGGCAAGGCTGTCCTGATTCCTCCTCCCATTATAGAGGAACCCTTTCAGAGGATTGCTATGGACATTGTGGGACCCCTTACCAAAACTACCCATATGGAGAAAAAATATATTATTGTGGTAGTACTGCTATCAAGAAGTGGTAGCTCTCCTCCATAGAGGCAGACAAGTTGGCTGATACCTTGCTAACAACATTCAGCCGGGGGCAGGGGCAGTTTTCCCTGAGGTGTTGATTGATCACGGGGCAAACTTATGTCTGCCCTACATGAAGGGCTATGGGAGAAATGTGCGATTCCACAATTTTGGTCGTCTCCCTACTACCCCCACACTACCAGGCTGGTTGAGAGATTTAATGGAATCCTTAAAATAATATTGAAAATTTTGTGGACCAACAGCCTGGTGATTGGGATAAATATTTACTTGACCTGTTATTTGCCTATTAGGAGGTTCTCCAGGAATCCACAGGATTCTCCCCTTTGGAACTTCTCTATTGGAGGAGGGTACAGGGCCCCCTGGACCTAATGAGGGCAGAGTGGGAACGTACAGTCTCTCCCAAGGAAATGTCCATGGTGGAGTACTGGTTGGGTTTCTGGGGAAAAATTCACTGAGCTCCTGAGTTTTCACTGACAGAATCTATCTAGAGCTTGGAAGAAACAGAAAGTCTGGCATGACCACACCACATGTGGTCTGACATATGGTACAGGGGACCAAGTTATGAGGGTCATTCCAGTGTTAGAGGCACTGCGCATGTGCTGTCAGTGCCAAATCCTGAGCATAAAGTGGTTTGATGTTGTGGAAAATGTCACAATCTTGCTCCAGCATATATAGATAACATTTGTATTTTCAGTCAGATTTGGGAAGAGCATGTGACCCCTGTAAGGAAGATGCTTTATAGCATTCAGATGGTAGGCCTGACTGTAGAGGTGGAAAAATGCAAGGTGGGGATGGCAGAAGTGGGCTATTCTGACCATGAGTGGAGAGGGGCTGCATAAAACCAGAGCCTGCAAGAGTGGAGGTTATTAAGAATTGCCCCACTCTCCAGACACAAAAACAAGGTACAATTCTTTACTGGGATGGCCAGATATTACCAGAGGTTGTCCCTCACTGATCTATGTGTAAGAAGGGTAAGTCAGGCAAGGTTATCTGGTCCAAACAGAGTCAATGCAACTTCTGTGAACTGAAAGAAGCCATAAGTACAGACCCAGTTCTGGTATATCCAGACTTTGAAAAGGCTTCCATGGTATTCACAGATGCCTCTGACACAGGCTCAGGGCTGTGCTGATGCAAGCTGATGAAAAGAGGAGAGGCACCCCAGAGTGTATGGGAGCAAGAAATTGCATCCCTGAGGAAAAACAACTATGCAACAATGGAAAAAGAATATTTGGTTATGGTGTGGGCCCTCAGCAAACTACAGCTCTACTCTTTTGGATGACATTTCACTGCATGCAGTGACCATTTCCCACTCACCTGGCTACATCAAATAAAAAGGACAAATGCCACATTGCTAAAATAGAGATTAGTGCTCCAAGATTAAGATGGAAATGATTCGTGTTAAAGGGAATGCAAATTTGGTTGCTGATGCCCTGTCCAGGAAATAAGAAAATGGATTCCCCTAGGATGCAGGCCAACCACCCTAGGCCATATCTATATGTACAGCACTGCATCTGTACTGATACAGCTGCGCCACTGCAGCACCTGAGGTGAAGATGCTCTACGCCAACAGGAGAGAGCTCTCCTGTCAGCATAAAAAACCGCCTCCACAAGCAGCATGAGCTATGTCGGCATGAGAAGCTCTCCCCCCAACACAGTGCTGTGCACACAAATGCTTATGTCGGTGTAATTTATGTCACTCAGGGGAGTTGAATATTCACATCCTTCAGCGACATAATTTTTTTAGACAGGCTGTAGTGTAGACATAGCCCTAGTTAAACCCACTTTGGCAGGGGAGATGCGATAGATGGCAATTTCCTGCACTATCCTTGGAAAGCTTTATAGTATTAAGTTTATGTATTATTTTGAGCTGGGATTATATGTAACCCCTCTAGAGGGGAGATGTGATGTGAAGTCTGGTAGTTCAAAGGACTATATTGAAAATGTGCCAGACAAGAATAAACTTTTTGACAATAAGTGTGGAGTTCCTGAGGAATACTTAGGGAGAGGTTAATGCAAATTCCCCATCTCCGGTTATGCAAAAACTCAGCCTTTTGCAGCTAAGCCCTGAGGAAGGGGTCATTGTCTGCTGATTATCTCTTCTCGGAGACTGGAGATCAAGGACTTGTATAAAGAAACTGCTCAACTGCCCAGCCAGGGATCTGGTTCTGAATCTGAGATTGTCATGAACATGTAACAACAGGGCAAACCCAGTTGTGGGTTTTGAAGGATTGACCAGAGCTTGAGGGTGGAGT